CTATATCCTTTTAGACGGAAGCATTCTCAAAATTAATATGTCTATAGAATGGCATACAAAATATAACATAGATCGAGGAATTGAAAAGCATTAATGTAGAACTTGTTAGTGATGTAAATTATGTGATGTATGCTGCTTGTTGATTTGCTGTCTAATGTTGTTCATTTTTATTTTATTTCCTGAAATTTTTGGATTTTTGAATTTTGATGATTCTGGGTGTGGTGTAGGAGCAAAGTATAATTTGGGGTATCTAGCAATACACAAGCGAATCTGCAAGTGCAAGAGCTTGGATTCTGTGGCGCAAGTTGTTAGGCAATAGACTGGATATCTGTAACCCTCTTTTGTGAGGACGTGGGTTTGATTCCCAGAGACCGATCTCTCAATCATTAAATAGAGTGTTTTCGATATGACAAGCTGTCGTAAACTACAATTTTTACTAGGGAAGACTTCATATGTGTCTTCTCATGTCATTGCTAAAATACAACCTTATCCAAAATTATTCCGTAGACGTTTAGAATCAGGAAATCTGAAATAAATGAAATTAATTCATTAATATTGCCTTTGTAGTTTGTTTCCCAAATTTTCGATCCTTACTTCTAAGTACATTGTCAGCTTGATCATATTAACGATTGTACCCAGTTACTGCATAAAAATTAGTCGCAAAATTACCCCAAAAATATACGACGCTGACTCAAACTTGACTTTATCATCTACAACAAATCAATTTGCTGTTCCATTCCTATTTCTTCTATTTGCAGATTAAACACCAAATATATTGTGTATAGCAACAACAATATTGCTTTCAATTTAGCTTAACAACAAATTTCCTCGTTCTTCCTTAAATGTCTTTCTTTTGTCTCATTCTTTTCTGTGTTAATATTTCCTTTTATTTCATTTCAAATGTAATTTTTAAAATAAAGTAATAAAGTGAATATATGAAAAATAAAATAGTTTAATTTCATTTTTTTTTTGCATTTTATTATACTTCTCATTTTCATGTTCATGTTCTAGATTAAGCTGTCACTTATATCGTCAATTTTTCATCCTTATGTTATGAATATTTTTTATGAATTTCTTTTTTTGATGAATGACAATTTAAAAAATTTATTTTATCTTTTTTTTGCTTTTTAGAAAATACAGAATAAATAACAAGATTATTTGATTATAGTAAAATTAAATTTTCATCTTTATAATGTCAATAATGATAATAAATGTGTTCTCTGCAAGGTCTAGATGCTTTATTATTCGATATTGGGTGGGAGAAAAAATTGTGGGATGATTTTTTTTTTCGTCTCAATCTGATGAACATTTATTTGCGGTTGAATGGTTTTGAAATGTGATGATGATGGGGTGCAGATTTATTTCAATTTATGTGGTTGAAAAGTTTATTTCATTGTTTCAAATTTTAGTATACTAGAGCTCGTAGTTTTCAGACTTTTTTGAAGAGAAAATTGGATATGAATAATTATAGGTGGTTTTGGAATTTCGGGAAATGTGTCATGTAGGTGGGAGTTATTTTAAGATATATTTTTTGAGTATGCATAATTCGCAATTAAGTCTCTAATTATCCAAGACATAACCTGAACATACTTTGGTCTTATTGAATGTATTTTTTAAATTTTTTAAGAACCTTTAAAGCTTGGTTCAATTAAGTATAACCTTAAATCAACACTTAACTTAACCTTTCCTTTATAATTGCTCCAAAAATAGCAAGGCGTGGACACTCGAAATTAATCCTGAAAAATCCTAAAAAATCCCTGAGCCAATGAACATGAAAATATGAAATCCCTTTTAAATCCTTGATGCATTTGGGATTTTCAATTCGGGATTTAAAAGGGAGATCAAATTTTCGTGTTCATTGGCCCAGAGATTTTTTTAGGACTTTTCAGGATTAATCCTGAGTGTCCACGCCTTAGAAAACAGTGAAATTTATAGAAATTTGCATACAAAAAAAGTGCATTAAGTTAAACTAATGTTCATTCAAATTACTCAAATAAAATCATCCCTTAAGCAGTGATTAGATTGGAAACAACTTTGAAGCACCCGAACCTTGATATATTTCAACTATTTTTTCTTTACCTTTATATATAGAGAGGAAACGGATACTTATAACATTAAAAATGTGATGCGTATATTGCAATTGAGGATTTTTCTTTTTCTCTTTCTTTTTCTTCCATTTTTTGTTTTAGAAAAAAATGAATAAGTACATATGTTAAATATGACAATAAGCGTGCTATTTCTCAAAAATATTATCACAATTTATCTCTCATTGAAGTGTATTTTTTTTTTGTCTAAATGGTTTTTCAATTACACATTTTCAATATCTTTTTTTTTATATTACATTAACAATAGAATTAGCGGCATACATATGTAATAATACGCATATGGTAAATGTTCTTTTTGACTATATAGTGAGATGAATGATTTTGTCTTTTTTGACTAGCGTTGGCAAAATGTCATTTTATGAATTTGAAAAAAAATAAAAAAAAAATTGGAAATGAAAAAATTCCTTATCTTGATTCTCGTTTTCTTCATCAATGGAATGCTATGGCTTCAAAAGCTTCGTACATTGTATAATTTTTTTTTGTATAATTTTGTTTATGTTTTCTTTAGTAAATATACGATAAGATATTTTTGTCTTCATTTTAGAAGGATTTTATATATATTTAATGTTAATGCTTTTTTTTTTGGCTTGGAGGAGAAATTCTTTCGACTGTGTTGTGATTTTGTGGAGATAAACGTCGTTGAGAATAATGATTATCGTTTGAAATGTGGCTAAATAAGTGGAAATTGGGGATCGTTTACCCGAATGGCAAAAATCGCTGAAATAATCAGAAATCTGGCACCAAGCTGGAGTGACTCTGGCATGGTGCTGGAGTTAAATCGAAGCCAGCACCATGCCAGAGTCATATCGGCTAAGCACCGGACTTCTATTTATTTACCCGACTTGTGCCATTCAGGTTACTTATAATTACTGTTTTTCTGGGGACTATGGGGCATCTAGCGCTATGAAATAATTCATAGGCGATTTGATTTCCGTCATTTATTAACAACTTCTCACAAAATTTAAATAAATTGTGCTTAAGAGTTGAAAACTCAAAATAGGCACAATCGAGGAATTCACCCTCCAATCCAGATTTCTCTATAGTTTCTCCTCATTTTTTTAATGTTTCATCTTTAGAACAAAAACAACCTGATATTCCTATCAAAAAAATTAATTAATACATATTAAATTTGCTTATATCGGCATAGAAACAACAATATGCCACTAGAACTTTTTAACGCTTTTACGATTTTTTTTTCACCCTAAAGATACAATAACAATGATAAGTCTCTTATGGTTTCATTTATTTTCTTATATCAAATTTCATTTTTTTTTCAGTTTTGTTTTGTGTTATTTGTTCTCAATTACCGAAAAAATCGTCGCTTAGAAAATCAAAATGAAACAGAAAACTTAATTTAATTAAGATAGATTAATGAATTTTTTTTTGTCTAGAAAGTTTCATTTCTTTATTCCCAGCTACATACATCAAAAAACACAGCAGTTCTAATTTTTTTCATTTTTATCAATTTTTTCATCGTAACAAAATTTATTTCTCATAGATTTTTTAAGTAAATAATTAATTATGCAAGTTTCAATTTACATTTGTCGTATTTTCATAATTGAACATACTCAACAGCAATTAAATACTTAAATTTGTCAAAAATATAATGGAAATGTTTATTTAGGATGAATGTCTCAATGGTATAGACATAAATATCTTCAGACTCTTATGAATGGTATAGAAAGTAGGTTAGATATAAGAATACTATCCAGTCATCCATCCCAAAATAGAATATTGATTGAAATGTGTTAGCAGAAAGCATGTGGGCGCTTTATTGGATATTTTATTGCACAATCTGTAACAAGATTTTGCTCTACAACCTTGAAAAAACTTTATTCCAATCAAAAAATAAAAGATTGAGTTTGCAGTTTTACATAATTTAAGAGCGTCAATAAAAAATATTTTTTGAGATTAATTGACACTTTACTTTGAAAGTTTGGAATATTTGCCATACGGAAGCCTGGATTACATCTTATGTCATTTTCAATTAAAACGTTTAATAACAAAATTGGATGATCAGATTCACGTGATTTTATGCTTAGTCGAATAATTCATTTTAGTCACTAGATTAGATTTTTCATCAATGTAAGTTTTTGATTTAATTTTAATTTTTACTGCTAACCGATTTCAATCAATTTTATTTTAATAAGTATAAAAACAAACAACTTTAATTTTCTCATTTTGTCTAATTTGCCACTACAAATTAAGTATCATCCCATAAATTCTTGTTCTCAAAAGGAACAAGAAAATGGAGATTATACAATAACCGTTTAAAGTTATCAAGAGACTTCTGTAATCCTCAAGACTTCTTCTTTTTTTTTTGTCAACTACATAACACTTAATAATATCTCATCAATAATTCATCACTTTTACTCAGGATAGTTAAAAAATTAAAAATTTAATAAAACAAGCCGGGAATTAATTAATTTTTAATAGAAAGTACTTAAAACAAGGACAATAAATGATGGCGATGCCTATCTTCTGTGCCTTTCTGTCACTTCTTTTTGTTAACAGTTGTTTTTCACTAAATTGAATCTCACAGAAGCTCATTTGAGATTAAAGGGATTTATTTGGAAATGAAAATTTCTCAATTTACTGGCTGGAATGGCCTGAAAACTTTTTTTGTGAGAGAATTTACACCTTTGGGAAATAATAATAGGATTTTTTTCAGTGAATTTTGCGGATTAGATTAGATTTGGTGATAATTTTTTGGATTTGAAAAACTTTCTGCTTGAAAATCCACTGCCTTAAAGGATGTAAAACTTTAAAAACTTCAAAATTAACTTTGTCTTCGAAGATGAGCAAACTTCACATTGTTAAATAATGTAGAAGTAACGTAGATTGTCTAAAGTTTTTGTAAAAAGTCAAGTTCATCTTGCAAAACTATTTTAAAATAGACACAGAGGAACTGCCATCATTTTCAGAATAAAAACACATCGTACATGATTTTAATACGAATTTGATTATGAAAATTTTGATTCTTCTCGTTTTTAATGTGGATTTTTTTGTGAAATTGTTCAGCTCGATATTCTTGTTAACTTAATAGAAAAATGATCGTGTATGAAATTTAATTATGTCGGACGTGTTGTTCTGCTTGTTTTGTCCAACATAACTCAATTTTGATTGATAATTTCCAAAAAAGTTTGATGATGTGTTTTTGGTGTTTTCGAATTAGAAATTTATTGAATATAAAAAAAAACAATAGTAAGGTGGAACCGAAAAAAATATTTTTGATAAGAATTATGTAGAAGCATGTTTGGAAATTACTATAACATATTTTTTATTTTTTTTTTTTGGATTTTTTTTTTAATTATTTTATCTAACGAGTTAAGTCGATGCCGGAATCTGGCACTGCTGAGAAATCCATCGGAGACATTGCTAAAAGGTGCTATTGTTCAAGGAAAACAAGAGCAGTTGGCTTTGGCTCCAGGTTTGATTTCTTCGCTTCCACAACCAAAAATGTGATCTCATTACGATCACGATTTGCATAACATTCAGCTATGAGACGAGCAACATCCTGAGTATGAAATGAAAATAATATTAGATTTCGCAATTTATTCTCTAATGACGAGAATGAATGTTTTGAGGAATTCGTACTAAGTAAATTGATTTTCTTGTGATGAGTTGGAATTTTTAAATGAAATTTTCCGGTCCATAGCTCAAAACTTTCCAAACACTTTCATTTAGTCTTTCGTCCAATCATAAAACTCACCTGATGTTGCATTCCCTCAACTTTCGTATTATCAACTTCTAAAATGAGTTGACCAACCTCTAAGCCACCAGCTTCATACGCCGCACCATGTTCCTAATAATTTCGCATAAATTTACTCATTTCGTCACTCAATAAAATTTGTCAACAGTACTTACATGTATATTAATGATTCTAGGTAGCGGATGCTTTGTGTTTGCACCACCTTCCATCGCTATTCCCAATATCGCTTTCGTCTTTCGTACGGTAATAAACAAATTGCCATTCTCATCAGGTACAATGTGTGATAAATTTTCGTGATTTCGTAAATCTAAATTTGCTTCACTATCCTCGGTTGGCAAACGCTGCATAGACTACATCATACAATTTTGTGCGTTGAAACAATTTCAGATTGATTTTTAAGTTTAATGCGGTAGAAAAAAGGGTTTATTGTGTATGTATGTTTGTTCGTGTACGGTTTCGTTGTTAAATTTAATAGGTTAGAAGAAACGAGAACAAAAAGATGGCGAAATTTAGTGTAATTATTTATGTTACATGACAAAAAAAATTTACTCGAGAACTTAAAATCTTCTTTTTAAGAAATTAAACGAAGCGATAAAATGAAATAAATTAGAAATTATTTTGCTATCGCAAAGTTTTTACTGCCAACTGAAGAAAAAAAAGTTTTAAAAAGTAACGAATATCCTTGCAGTTAAAGAATTCGAATGCTTCTAGTTGTAATTTGACTATTATTTTCTTAAAAACTTTTAAGTCACCATAGTCATAGTGTGTCATAAGGGTAGATTAAGGCAAAGTTTAAAAATTCAAATTTTCTCTTTCCTGATCGATACACTAGTGCAGCAGTAAGCAACCTAATCAAAGGCAAAGGCAGAAATTTTTTTAAGGGGAGGTTTGATTTTGTTTGTATGAGTGGGAAATTATGTTGAGGGGGGGGGGGGGGGGGGGGGGGGGGAGGGGGTGTATTTTTTTTCAAAAAAAAACTCAAGCAAATTGAACAAATTTTTCAAAAGAAGGAGGGAGGAGGGGGTAGACCCCCAAAACAGTTCCGTGGCTACGCTTCTGAACCTATTTTGTGCTAGGCACACCTTGGTGTTAAGCCATGAACAAAACCGAACGAATTCGCAGCACAGTAGTGTGCCACAGCCAATGAGTTTGCTATCACTGCACTAATGTGATGACATAGGAGTGTAACCTTGGGTTATCCGGGGATTTAAGCACCAATTTCATGCATATATAGCAATTATCGATATGACAAGGACTCGAACAACGCTCACAACATTTCATCACTTGAATAGATTTTGATGCAAACTTTTTGTCAAGGATAGAAGTTGAATTTTCTTTGTCAGAGCACGCACCAACTTTACTCAGAAATTCGATTTTTTTCGAAGCTACATTCTTTAACTGCAAAGAACTTTCGCGCCAAAATAAATTTGTGATGATTAAGAAACGAGAGCAAATAAAACAGAATGGGAAATTATTGAAATAATAATCGATATCACTTTAAATGAATCAATATCCCTTTCTCATTCGCTCTAATCAAGGGAGGCAAGGTAACCTTCTATTCGACAGAAATTCTTAATTACTTTTTAATGTTTAGATACTTCTTTAAATTTATAGATTGTTTCAATAAATTGTTATTGTTTTCTATCAAAAAACTTTTATTTTTTATGAACAGAAATGGATTAATTTTATGTTCATGTTTTGGCTTGTAGGTGATGAATAAGAAGTTTAGTAGAATATTGTTTTCAAATAAACAACACACTTGATATGTCTATTGATTGGGTATATGCTTTAGAAACAAACATAAAGTTCAAAGCCAAGAACTTCAACAGTTTGAAGACTTTTTAATATCTTAAGAGGAAAATGTTGAGATTTTCTTGGCAACGTCTGTAGAGCTATTTTCATGTTCATTTGTAAATCATCATTTTAAGAAGATAAATAGCTGTTGGAGAACTTGGGTGTATTAAAATGCCAAGGTCTAGGAACTTATTTGTATAAATAGAATAAAATTTTATAGATTTATGTCAAGGAAGTTTAAAGATTTGTTTTTTCAAAGATCTAATTGTTAAAATTCTAAGCTGCAAGATCTCATAAAAATTGAAAACAATAACAAAATCTATTAAAGAAGTCTCTAAACATTTGACGCAGAAAAAAATTTAAGAAATTTATGATAAGAAGCTTATAAAAATTCAGATGTTCAAAAAAGGGAACTACAAATGTTTAATTTATAATACAAAAAATAATAAAGTTAAATGAAAGCTTTTATATGCGCATTAATTTTGTTCAAAGTGCTCTCAAAATTTTCATATATTTTTACTGCATTCTTAAAAAATTTAAATTTTTTATCTAAATTTATTCATTTCTCATCCCATGCATTCTCTCATAACCTACAAAGCTAAGCCAATTTTTTTTATTCTCTGTTTCTAAAGCGACCATAATTTATAAGATTTTTTCTGTTTTTCTTTCTTTAAACTTTTCGCAGCACTTTTCATCTCCGAGTAGCTCAAACAATCTGGTTCTTACAGCTTATGATAAGTTCCGAACATGTCTTATTTGAAAACGAAGGAGTTATGGGTCCTTAAATTGAGATGTCTAACATTTAGGATCTCTAAAACCTTTCAGAGTAAGGATGTTAAAGCTGAAGTGGCTCGTGAAAGAATGGTTTAGTTCTTCGGTACCAAATTATTGCAATACTAACACAGCGATCATAAGTTCGAGACTCGGCATGGGAAAAATTTTACTTGTCCTTTTTCGAATTATATAGACTGGAAATGAGGCTCAAAGTCTTTTTTTGTAAGCTACAAGCAGAAATGTTATCAGAGGAAAGGTTCGGATCCCAATATAGACTGTGGATCTGGCAAACCATCTCTCGTTAAACTATCATTAGCCTTGTAAAGCATATTACGCGCAGCTATGGATCTTAAGGGCTGAACACTACTGGAGTTCTAGAGCTCATACTCGACCAGCTGTAATTGACTGCAACTTCTAGCTTAATCTTGTGATGTCAAAAAAAAAACTCCAACAAAATTACTTTAAAACAAGATATAAAGATCATTATGAGCCACAAATTTATGTGCTACTCGGATGAGACGAAAAGAATAAAGGAAGAAAAGTGAGTCGATTATTTTTTTCGTCTACTTCATAATTTATGCTGCTTTTTTTTGCCTGAAAACTTTTTTTCATTTCTTCCAAAAAGAAAAAAAAATATTTCTCAAATAAAAAAACATAAAAATAGGAAATTTTTATGCTTTTTAAGCTATTTTTTGTTATTGTGTTTTCCGAATAGAAAATTTTGTAGTATAAAATAGAGAAAGTGAAACAATATAACATTTGGAAGGTAAAGAGGGGTAGAAAAGCATGTGACGTCACATAGAATTTCATTACCTGATAACGTGTAAAATATTTTTTATTTTCTCCCCCAAATAAATTTTGTCGTCCTTCTTCATTTAAATCAAAGCTTCTTGAGAATTTTGTGGTAAATTCCTATTAAATATTATATGATGAAGCAAATTATTACGTGTATTGATAAAAAAATTTGTTATGTACATCAACACATATTAAATTCACATCTATGCTTTTGTTATCCATTTATCATCACTCTTTACCACCTTCATCATTTGACAGTGATGGATATACATCATCACATTAAGCTCATCATTTTCATAAGACTTAAAAAAAATTCTTTCTCCTCTGTCTCTTTTTTTTCTATCAATTATATCAATTGAAAGCTGCTAGCTTTGATGCAACACTAAAATATTCTATTCAGCTTTGAAAAAGCGAAAATCATATAATTTTGATATCTTACTATAATCCAATTAGGATTTATAGTTTTTTTTTCTTTCCTATCTTTCGCTTACAAACAAAAAATGGAATAGAAAGCTTATCTTATAAAGTGGATACACTTCTACATATTCTACATTTTCTTCATAAATATACTATCGTTGAATTAGGGAAACTACTAAATACTGTTGTGATTAGCGCATTTTCCATTAAATTTTGATAAAAACTAGAGGATAGACCAGGTTTGATCACAAGCAATTTTATCAAGGTCTAGTATTTTAGCATTCAATATTGGAAGGTGTATTTTAGATGGGATTGATGCAAAGCTAGTGTAAAAAAATGTAATTTTATTTACTTTCTTCTTGAGGCCAGTTTATAGGAATTGTTTAAAATAATCAGAGCTCGAAGTCGACTCGAGATTTTTAACGATTTTGACTCCAAATCAACTCGACTCCATGCAAAATTTCATCACCTTCGAGCTCTGAATTTAATTGAAATGGCAAAATGCTACTAGAGTTCTTTTGGACTGGAATATTTTTAGTAGACTAAGAAATCAGCTCCTGAGTGTTGCATGGTCGTATCTAGAGGAGGGTTCTTAGACGTCCGGGAAGCCCCCCTCCCTCCCCTGGCTTGAAAAATTCTGGCTAGACTCCTGAAGTGTTATCAAGCACCCGAATTAATTTTGGCAAAAAGTTATCAGAATTTAACTATTTATAAGCGACGGGTAAAGTTGTAAATCACAATTTTTCAGTACTATCAGTGAAAAGCATGGATAATTTCTGACTTGAATCTAAATTTTGATCTTTAAAATACATAAAAGGATCAATATTTTTATATATTCTTAGCAAGTCAGCATCTCACTGAGGAAAAATGTTAAAAATAGATTTTTCAAACTTTTAAGAACCTCACTTCCTCAATAAGTTATCATTTCAAAATAATTTTATTGAATAATCTTTTATATCCAATAAATTTAAAACGTGGCAACCGCAAGAGAACAAATTGATTGCTCATAAAATTGATCGATACTATGTAACTTTACAGGAGATGAGTTTGTAAAATTCTTAATAATTCTTCATAATATCGACAGTATTGCATCAAACAATCTCCAGAGTTCAAAGAACGTGTAAAGAGCATAATCAATATTTCACGATCCCAAGTTTGATGTCAAATCGAGCAAAATATCATATTTAAAATGGTATTGATCAACAATTTGTTTGAAACATTAGAGAGGTAAGAAATTAATGAATCTAGTTTGACAGTTTTAATAGACAACTAACAGACAGACAGGCAGATTGCTAGAAATATGTTTTTATGAAAAAATGTTTTGGAAAATGCGCTAAAATAAATATATGTGTGAATATACCATACCAAGACATGAATAAGTAAAAGAAAGATAAGCATCCACATGCATCTTTGAGCAATAAGCTTTCCAAGCCATACTTTCTATCTCAAAAATATATATGTTTAATATTCATTAAAAAAAAACGTTCTTCTACATAAAGTCTCATATTTTTTTTTCGATCATAATTTTAAGGAGAAAAGAAGTAGAAAAAAATGGAAATTCCTTTATACATTACAGTGCTTTACACAATATATATTAATGGTGATATGACTACAACTACTCATTATTATGGTGTATTATATATTTTTGTCACATACAGTATCATAATAAAATTTAAACATAAAGAAAAAAAGTATGAGAGAAGACATAAAAATCATATGGAATGGAAAACTTAAAAAGATTTACAATAAGGAAAGAAAATCGAAACAGTAAACAATTTACTAAACTTACTAAAGGTCGACCCCAGTACCATGATTTAACTTTTTCAGTTATACCGCCTATTTGCGTTCGAATTCCTTCTAAATAGCTACCCTGTAATATTATTATTTTTTTTGATAAAATTTTTTAAAGTAAAGAAAGTAAAAATTATAAGTAAAAGATTTTTTTGGAAATCAGACTTAGTCTACATTCCATTTAAATTAAAGAAATATTTAAACATCCCTCGGAGGAATTTTGTCAGATCTCTTTGAATAAGTGGATTTCATTTTGTACATGTTCATGTTAAATAGACAATAATTCCATTGAGATAAAGCAATAAAACTAGAAGAGTCAGAAAACTGATGATGTCCTTTAACAACTTTATGATTACTTTTGTAGCTTCTTGATAGTATATCGTTAATAAATGTAATAAATTACAATTAAATGTAATGTAAGATAAGTGATTTGCATTTTTTGATTTAGTCAATTTAAGTGTTTTAGCTTTGCCAAGGAGATACCTCTCCTGTCAGCGGCTGAGCCAGGATTTTTTTGACTGGGTAGATTTTGAAATTTTGTATTAAATGGCTACGACTGCCTCTTGTTGTTGAAATTTATTTAATATAGTAGAATTTTTCAAAAACTTAAATGTGGCAAGTGCTAAAAGTCATGCTCAGATACCAAAAAAGCTGGTATTGTCTAAAAAGTTTATGAAATTCTCTTACAAATCGTGGCTTTCATTGAAATTTTTTTACATCGACTGACATACATTTTTAATCTAACATACAATGCCATAGAATGTTTTGTAATCCCATTGACAAACTTAGCATATTGAATGCCATAAAGAATTTATGCAAGCATGAAAACATCGGATAAATGTATCAAAATACCGGACATTCTATTACACAATGATGAAAAGTCTTGCAAGAAAAACCCGGAAACACGAAAAATCCCGGAAAACATTGTATGCGTGCCGGAAGCATTAAATTATATTGGCAGATTTATGCAAAGTATCATTTAAACTTTAACTTTAGCTTTAAGAGAATTTTTGGATTGGTTTACTGAAAGGTCTGGAAATCTCTTGTCTCACCTAGACTGCCACATAATTGTAATCCAAACAAATATTAAAAGAGTCTGACAAAATTCCACTCAAGTAATGTACTATTTTTGCATGAGAATGAGAAGGATGCATAAAACTTTTTACAACAAATGTTCTTCTTATTAAACCTTCTTTCTAGTCATTCTTATTGTTTCCAAAAAATATCATCATTCAAGGACATAGTTTTAGTAATTTTAAACACAAGGCACGTACATTAAAAATTTGTCTAGTAAATCCTAATAACACTCAATGCATATGCCTTGTTAATTTCAATGCAGTATCATTATTCATAATATACAGTAGCTTATGTCCTTCAACATTGCCACAGTTAAATATGAAAAAATAAACTACAATAACTTTGGTCATATGATTGATTATTTCCCATTAGCATGATAAAAACTTTCACAAATCTAAATAGAAAACTAGCTAATTGAAAGTATAGACATTAACATGTCATCTCTGAACTATGTAGTTTGAAATGTAATTTTTCATCAACTATAGGAAATATTAACATTTAATTCATCAGTAAAGAATAACAACAAAAAAAGAACTTAAACGATAACAAAATGATGTCAATAAACTAGCATTGAATATAGCCAAAAAAGAAAGAGGAACGAAAATGGCTCCTCATTTGCTTATCAGATTGTACAATAAATATTCGAGTGATCAAAAAGTGAATTTTGTTTTTATGGAATTTTATTGGAATGAAAATTTATATCTGAATATAATTGTTATGCAAGACTTATGGAATGTCAACGACATACAGTATTTTTTTTTATCATACTTTAGATGAGAATTTTGGCAAAATATCTGTCGACATTTATGTGACTCCTGCTTCTGAATGGTTTATTTTTGGAAAATTATTGTCTATAAAATAAGATTATTGAATGATTTTTTTTAATTTCAGGAATATAATCAACTTTTCAAAAATAGATTAAACTCTATTATTCTCTTAAAAACTTGTAGATGAAGACTACTACAAATTGCCAATCTACAGATTTCATAAATTTTATTTGAAGCTTCATCTCTTATCTGAAAATTCTCATTCCATTAAGACTCGACAAAATAAAAATCAATTTTCTATTTGAGCACTTAAAAAGTTAAATGTCTGTAACAACGCCTATATAGTTTGTTAAACTATTTTATTGGCACCATTTTCAATGATATTGGGCAGTTGGAACAACCCATAAATTTACTCTATAAATCTTATCAATCGATTTAACAGAAATAATAAAAGTTTTGTTCTTAATGCAAATCAAATTGAAAACAAAAAGATATTTGAGAGGATTTTTATGAATGCATAAAAACTCGTGTTTCACAATATTTCAAGAGAATTGAGAAGGTTTATTGGTTGTTGATAGAAATTAAAATAAAATCAATTGAAAAGATGGTGTAAAGCACCAACTAAAGAAGAGGAGAATAATGAATAAAATCAAAAAAAGATTTAATCAACAAAAGAGATTTAAAAAGCATTTTATGACAAATTAAATGCCTGCTCACCTGATCCTGAATATTTTTTTTTTGATTTATTTGATTATCATCAGCCCAGCAACAGCACACAAAAGCAGAATGCCAGCGACAAAATTATTTTTGTTTGACAAATAAAAAATGGAAAGAAAAATGAATCAAAAATTTAGTGAATGAAATTTTTTAAGCTTCAAAATAAATTTTTAATGCTTGATTTAGGTAAGGTGAGAAACTTTTTCAACAAAGCGAAAGCTACCTAATGAAAAGTTTTATTAAGGTGGAAGGATTAATAACTTTGAGAAGGAATATCTCGTCATTAAGTAACTTTATGCAGCTTTAACATGTGAATTTAAAATTTTTTAAACTTTCTAAACCAAATAAGAAATTTTTTAAGTTTCCATACCTTGGTTATGTGAAATACAACTTGACATTTTAAATTGCTTTCTAAATAAAATTTTCATGCTTAGATAAATTATTCATTTATTTAAATATTTTTATGATTGATCAGTTGATTCTAATAAATCAAATTGGAGGTCATTCACTCATGAAGTCCAACATTTATAACAGCGTTTCAAATACATAACCCAGACTGCTGAGAGGGATGCAGTTTAAGAACCACCTTATTTCGAGATGGAAATCACTATTTTTTTGTAAATCTATTCCCAAAAAAAAACATTTAAATCACTGGTTGTGAAACTTAGATGTGTCTTTTCAAGACTTTATCTACTTTATCAAAATTTTATTTATATTTGGCAGGGGCGTAGCCAAGATTTTTCAAAGGGGTAGGAGGTGCCTAAAAAATTTTATTCTCAAAAAAAGTAAAACCTTTTTTATTTGGTTAATAAAAGCTTATTTTATTGTTTTAGCTTTAAAATAATTAAAAAAATGTGTATGAAAATTCAATCTCAAGGGGGGATGTCCGGGCACCTAAAGCCTCCCCTGGCTATGCCCCTGATATATGGATTGCAAAGCTTTAAATTAATAGAATTAAATTCGCAATTTCGTTCGTATCAAATTGTATTTCACATTGATCTCTAATGGTTAATATGATGCATAATGTGTAACAAAATAACAAAAATAAAATTGTAATATTATCTGTTCCTAAATATATGTATCCTAATCCCTTGCCTAACAGCCAAAAAAGGAAATTAAAATGTGTGATAAGAACAAATAACAAAAAAAAAACAATTATAATCTACCTATTAATCTAACAAAATCCCATTTAAGCACACTTGAACATGTTTAATAACACACGGTTGCTTAACAAAAACATGAAATTACATCAATTACATATATTTGAGATGCAAACTTGATTCCTTTCATAATTCTAGATGTAAAACTTTATCATATCTCAACGACATCAAATAACATACATTCATAATAATATGGATTATAACTATATTGTATTGAATGATGTGTTTGTCCTTTAAAAGAATCATCATCACTTTTTGTTGACAGAAGAAAATCTCTTTAAAAGTTTCACAATAAAAGAAAGAAATAAAAAAATACAGCACATGAAAATATCCTAAAGGACATTTTTTTTTTTTTCATTCTAACATAAAAACACGAATCACATATCTATATGTACACAATCATTCACTGAAGAATTATTCGTCATTAGCCTCTTACCGAATCATAATCGAGACGTGACAATGAATCACTTCCTCGTCTTGGTCTTGGATTATAAAGCTAGACATTATATAGCAATACAAAGAGGGGGGAATATCAATAAATAACAGAATTTTTTATCTTAGGATTCGATTATTGAAATAAACATTAAAACAAATAAGTTGTAGACGACAACCACAACAATGAATAATAAAAGGTCTGAGAACAATTGGAAGGATGGGATTGACGTCTTTTATCATAACGATAAATTTTACTTCTGTATCATTTTTAATTGCATAAATAAAGCACATTTGTCACATAAATTATTGTAATGATGTGAAAACTTTTGTTTCATCTCTACGTAGCTCTCGATGAAATGAGGACACGACACAGACAACATTAATTTATTTCTCTTTTTTCGGTTATGTTGGTTTATCATTAAATAGAAATTTATGATTTTACAGACGATGTTAATGCACAACATTAGTTCGTGCTGTTTTTGCTCTTTCATTTTAATTTATTTGTGTAGTCTATGGAAATTGTTTTTGTTGCTGTGCTTGTTTGGACGAGAAAATGAACCGAGTCAAAAAGAACAGTTATTACTTGCTGATAATTATAGTAATTTGCCCCGAGGCTGATAAACTTCTATGATGAGGTTGTTGTAAATACATGAACAGCTATAAAATGACTACACAAATTGTACGTTGACATTTCGTAGTTCGGAAAATATGAAATTGGGAACTGATGTTTTTTTGATAACCGATAATTTGAGATGTGTTTGGCATGTAGACAGAAAATTGGCAAGGACGACGAGAAATAAATTTGGCTTTTGACGTGATTACAAATATCATGAGGAATCAGCTGTGTACAGTGTTAAATGCACAATTTTCAGTTTTGATCAAACACGCTTGAACAGGAGCGTTCTGGTTTTGGTTTCTGAAAAAAGGAGATGCCATAGAAACCGGCTTCAGAAGCATTATAGTTTATTTTAAATCTAATAACTGGAATTTTTATTTTTGACGAAATCAGGAGTTTCAACTCCTCCACTGAGATCTTTGATTTGGATGTCTTAAATCTTTTAAACTGCTTACTTCAATTGTCAGAATATTAATTGTTTATCACGGCTATTGCAAATCTATAAACATCCAGTATACATCCTCAAATCTATTTACTAATATCCTGTAGTATTTGTAGATCTCCTTATTACTGCTATATGTGTATATTAATGTAAAGCAAGTCGGGTTCGCTTGGAATCGAACCCACGATCTTAAAAGAGGCTATTTTTGACCACTCGATCAGAGATTCATGCCACTTAGCCACTGAGGTCCTTATCTCACTTCGGCTATCTGTCATACACACATAACAAGTTTCACTGCAAGTCCTACGCTCTGGCCTGTCTCCTACAGATATGCTCTTCTAGTCATATCCACAGTATTGCAACAAAATATGACAGAATATCTTTTAAAATTGTCACTGGATGTATAAACATTTGAAATCTGTCATTAAGATCCGTCATTGGACAGTAGTGCATCCAAAAATAATTCAAGAGAGGATATAAATAAGAAGTTTTGTAAATGGAACTTTTCCATCGAATGTGAACTTTAACACTCATCATTGATACATCCCTGTGACAATGATTAACCAAAAAATCTACAGATCCTATAGATATGTCATACAATAGAGATTTAACTTCATAAAAGAGAAAAAGTCAAAAAAAAAAAATAAATAAAAAAGGAATTGAAAAGAAAGGAAAGAAAGTTAAAGTGCATTCAAAAGCCCCTTGTTAATATTGCCTCAATAATCACTTCGAAAACCTCAATGATAATAAATTTTGTGATGACCATGAAAATAAAAGAAATTTGCACTAATTCAATGTATTTTTTTGTGGTAAGTATTTTTCTGTGTACATAATGAGACATGATATTTTGTAGATTTTATGGTTGATTAGTTAAGAACTAATTTAAATGAGAGAGAAAAAAATAAAAATGTTAAAAAAACAATCACCTTATCACCACATTTCGATTCTAGAGGACTAAATTGTTTAAATTGATTGCCATAAGTAAAATTGCTAGCATTATTCATTGATGATTTTGCAAATGTAGGTGGTGGTGTAAAACGCTTTTTTGCCTGCGCTAACATTTCAGACATGTGTCCTTGGGAGGAACTCAAATGTCGCATAGATGAGTGACGATGTATTGATGGTCCTTGTGGAAGTGGAGCTGGTGGTCTGGATGGACGGGTTTTATGTTATTTTATTATTTATTTTAAAAAAGATTTTTGACAAAAAAAGTTTTATGTGGAATATCCGAAAAAGGAAGGTGAATAAGAAAATCTTAAAAATTATTTTTCTTTTAAAATAAAACTGAAAGTTTTGTGAATTTATGACTTGAAACTGCAGTGATGTAGTAAAAAATTCATAAAGAGTCTCACAAAAAAGCGAATAGTTATGTGCAAAAATTGTTAAAGTCTTTTTTGTTTAAAATAATGTTAAAAATGGAAGTAGAAATTTAGTTACTCTAAAAACCAGTACCGATTCTTTATATCAGTGCCTGAAGCATTCATTTTCGGTGTGCCTGATCGGGAACTTGTCTTCTCATCCGTCATTGTTACGTGCTTTTTCTTTGTCACTTCACTCACTTCTACATCCGTATCGGAAGCCTTTCGATGATATGGAGATTATAATATTCGTGTGTACACATTCATCATTGATATTAATTTATTACACAAGGATTTATTGTTGGAAATTGGTTGGTGAGCGATGGCAATCAAAACAAAATTAATTAATTAAAGTTTCAAAAAGGTCAAGAAATCATTTAAAGGTAATTTGATAAAACAAAAATGAAAAAGGAAAGGAAAGGTTATATGACATGCTAGAGTTGGAAACTAGAGCTGGGATATTCGTAGACGAGATTGGTCCTTAAATGTTTTCATTAGCTTAATAATTATCTAGATTGATTTAGGAAATATGACAAAAGTAGGAGAAGGTGATGGAAGTGGGTGTAGGCAGGCGCGTAGCCAGAAAGGTCTTTTCCCCCTCTTAATCGTTTTAAACCGTGCTCTCGCTGCGGTTCAAAACATTAAAGGCGGACACAAGACTCTCCTGGCTACGCACCTGGGTGCAGGTCAAAATTCAGAACTAATCTCCTTGAGAAGTAAAAGGCAGGACCGTCAAATGCTATGTGCTCCCGAACAGAAGCAAGAAAAGAACAATATTAATTCTTTCGTTTCTGAATTATGAACGCTAATTTCAGACGTCATAAGAGAACGACTCCTACGCTTATAAAGCTTCGTGACATACCCGGAAGAAAAATGATAATTTCCAACTCTAGATGGCATGTGCTTCCATATATCCAAACCTTGGCCATAAAAAGCAACATAAAATCTTGCAAAAATTTCGTAAGAGAGAAAAGTATCGAATTTTCTTATTTTTAAAAAAGTTTTTGTGCATACTATCATGCTAGTGATTACTGTTTTCCTTTCGTGTGTACAATATCGATGTTATTTTAAGTAGAAATGGTGTAATTACAATCAAATTTTTGTTGTGCATTTATTCAATTCATTTTAATGCGAAGAGTATCATGAATCGAATTTATTTTTATTTTTATTACAAATTATTTATGATGATTTCGAAAATAAAATGAAATATGTGCATTATCCTGCCAAAAGTTTCCATATCTTGTGTATGTACATGAATATCAAATTGATATTGGCATTTTTATTTACAAATGCTTGCCAATATATTTGAATTCTGAGAATTTCTTCCTCATTTTTTAAGGGCTATTGAATGACATAAATATCAAACATTTACTTTGAAAAGTGAAATAAAATGAAAGTTTAATGGTAAACTTAAAGAAAGAAAGAATAACGGAAATTTTATACAATTTTATAATAACATCCTGTCGATTGCTATTCACAAGTTTCAGTCTTTAACCAATTTTTCCAATTTTACATCAATTTTCATTTATTTCAAACATGAAATTTTATTACAGCAATCGGAAATTGAATTTTTACTGTTATTTGTTGAAGCTATTCTAAAGTTTTTGTACCTTTACTTGCAAGAAGCATTAGAAATTTCCATAAAAATTACATTTTTGATATGAAAATGTGAGTTTTTTTAACGATGATTGCTGGTTGTGGAAAGAAGTTGATGTTAATTCAATAACTGAAATGGCTTGAAAAGCTATAAGTTTGTCTGGGGTTAGTTTGATTGACAGTGATGAAGACGGCAGAGTCAGTACTAGAGTTATTCAATTCAAGGTTATGTTTATCTAGTCATTTTCCAATTTTGCATTAGTTCACTTATGACGTCCAACATTTAGGGGGGGGGGGGGGGTAGGGGGTCAAAAAATTTGTGACACATTGTGACAGGAGAGGGAGGGGGTCAGAAAATTCGTGACATCCAATTTTTTAATCAGAAAATTATAATTTTTTTGTGTCTTAGATTTGACGCACAAGGAGGGGGGTATAGGGTCTAAAAAATAGTTTTTTGGATGGACGTCATAAGTTTACGGCTCTTGATGGTTTCACAATTTTTAATCAATATTTTTCTTAAAGAACCAAATTATCTGACGTCTCGTATCCAAATAAAGAAATCGTCGCCTAATTCCCAGACAAAAAATAAAATAGATTTATGTCTTATAAAATTAATTTAGGATTTTCACAAAAAATATTTATCGACAGCAATTTTGCCATCCCAACAATTAACCTACTTCCTAAATCTTCTCCGTAGAAGAAGCAGTTTAACCTTCCTAGAAGATGCAATGAATCCGTTCTAAAAGGCTATAAATTTACTTAATTGGATATAAAGTTCCAGCTACCTTCAAAAGTAAACAAACTTGTAGATCTTTATGGAAAATTTAAACAGTAGCCTGTCAAAACACCATTTCCAATTCAACGCAAGCATCAACAATGGTTAGTTGAAAAGTATGCAAACAACATAGGGAAATATGAGGTATGTAAAATAATTTGACGTGGAAAAGAATTTAATTTGTTAATTATCACATTTTCATAAGTAATTTTTTCCATTTAATATCACTGTTATATAAACATATAATCACGCATAATGAGTATAAAGATTTTTTTTAATGTTTTTCGTGTTTTTTTCATTTTCAACCATAATAAAAATTGTAATTTTTCAGCAAAAAGCGTAAAATATGTACATAATGAAATAGAGAAGAAAAAAATTGTTTTGTAGCTAATTTGAAGCATAAAGCTTAATGTGTGTCCCGTGAATAAAAGAATTTACCGATTTCTATGTCGGGTTGTGCATTAAAAAATACATAAAAAAATGGGAGGAAAACATAAAATTAAATAAAAAGGAAATTTCTTAATAAATCAATTAATAAAAAAAAAGTAAATTGAGTGAGGTTTTAAAATGATTCAGATTTCAATAAAAAGTACAGCAACAACAAGAAGGATGAAGATTATGGTGACCCTTGGAAAATTGACCCAAACACATTTGCATGATTTCTTCATAAATCAATCATTTGCATAAGCATAAATAAATACATTTATTGGAACGATTAAATTTCTTTTAAAAGAATGAGCCTTAAATATCCATCAGGAAATAGAACAAAGCTTATCATATTCTCGTGTCAGATGTGTGACAATTAATTATTTACAGAGAGACATAAAAGTGTTTTTGCATAACATTAAATTACATAAGATTGTTGATAAAGAGATTTTTATCTCTTCTTTCTCTTGTTTGACAATTTTACAGTTCAAACAATAAAATGTGAAAAAAATATAATTAATGACTTTAAAAAAATATAAAGCGCATTTTTGCCTGTTTTTGAATTAGTATATATGAATTACACACGTAATATAGCGTTTTATTAACTTAATTATTGTGTGAACTAGAACTGAGCATGACTCAAGAGAAAAACTTGAAATCAACGCAGTTTTAAATTATTAGGTTTGATGTAATTTGTTTTGCAGTATTAAAGCTCAAGGGTGTTTCATACCCTTCAAGGTTTATAACTTTTAATCAAGATTTAACTTTAAACTCAAATTGTCTTTGTTAAGAAAATTGTTAAAACACTTGTGTTCAATAAACATGAAAAAAAAAGGATTTTAATGAGGAACGATCTTTTTAATTTTGAAAATTGAGTTGTTCAGAAGAAAAATCAGTTCCTCTGCAGTTGACTTTTCTGAATGTATTTGTCGCAAATTTTACCAGATTTTATCAGGTTTTACCAATTTCAAACTTATTGACTTTAAAAAGTTATGTAGAGATACTAAGTGAAAGTTTAATAAGCCAAATATAATTGTTCAATTATAGTTTTTACGGTTTTCTAGAATTTCAATTCAATAGAATTCTTTTGCTCTTGTTTACATAAAGTCATAAACAAAAATAAATTAAAATTGTGTTTAACAAATTATTTAAAGGTTTGGTCAAAGTTTCTTAATGATTTAGGTGAGTCGTGAAGAAGATCTCTAGAAGTGTTATAAAGCATAAAGAATTCAAATTGTTTTTATTTGTCAAATCTTCGTAAATTTTAAAAATTATTATAAAAACCAGACTAACGTCACGTTAAAAATTGTCAGTTACAGAAGTTTTACCGATTTTTTTTAAATATTTTGAATCTTTTTTAACCGTTGGAAAAAAACTTTATTCAACATAATTCGAAGCTTTTAACTGTTTAGTTCTTTAAAATAAATAATCTTTGACATATTTTTAATGTTTTTGAACTGAAAATGCTTAAGTAAATGCAAGAATTGGTGATTTTAAAAATTTTCAGAACAAAATTATCAAAAGTAAACAAAAGTTGTAAATGTGTTAGTGAATTTTTTCACGAATTATAAATTTGTTAATTAATTGTTAATTGAAGCTCTTTTTTCTAATGTGAACTATTTAATAGTGATGAAACATAATTAAGATTATGTTAATTTAGTTTAATCATTGTTAAAAGAAGCTTAAATCATTGATTTTGATTTTAAATTTTTTGATTTGTTTACATTTTTCTTAACGGTCAATAAAAATTCAAATTTTCGTCTCAAATTTCGAAGTTTTCGACATTAATTTCGAAGACATTTCGAATTTTTTCGAATATAAGGTGGCGTAAGTCTGATAAAAACTCGAAATTTCATACTTGCAAGTACAAATTTTACCTTCGCGTTTGACTGTCGAATGCTAAGAATAAAGCTCAATTGCTATAAAAGAGAATATTGATGAGCCAAGCATTATTCAAGTTAACGATTCTCAAAATTGATTGGAAAGTTCAATAAAAATGCTTCAAATTGTGTTTGCACGCGTCAAACAAAGTGAGTACATTCTCAATTATTTATTTCTGCAAAAATGCGCTAGAAAAATAATAAAATAAGGACATAAAGATAAAAGTAATTTTCTCATTTCAAATAACAAAAAATTCTTGATTTTTTTTCTCATATTATATTATTCTTCATTTCTTAAGTTGAATATGTTTGAACACATATTCTCGCTTACAAAACATACAGAAGCATAGGGGGTTGCAAATCTGCCATGCTTTTTATAGAATTGAAATATTAAAGCGAAATGTTTTTGCTAAAACTAGACTCAGCGGCATTGCTATCAATAATTTTTTTTTTGTTTGCAAAACCAATCCCTGAATTCAATATGCGATTTTTTGTTCTTTTTGTTATTTTTTGTGTATGTAACATCTGTTAGCAATGTAAGAGGTGATAGCAATCACTATCATTCTATACTATTGTTTAAATATTCTAAATCAGTTATCTCTAAAAGCAATATGTGTCTAAAATAAAGAATTTTTATAAGGGAAATTTATGCTTGCTTGTTTTTTGGTAGATAGCTATATTGGAGCGCAAATAATGTGACATAATTGTTATGCAGAAAGTATAAAATACTAAAGATCCTAAAGTCAAAAAACACTACATAGAGAAAGAGAGCTAATATAGCTGAAGATTCTCATAAAATGATAGGGAAAATATTTTTCTTACTGATTTTTTTTATGTTGCAAAAATTTGAACAATGAATTATGACAATAACATAATTTGTTTGTGACAATAATAAAGCAATTTAGACAAGCAAATACTCACTCTATGTGAATCATAATAATCCATTCGTGAACTCAATTTACTCCGTCTATAGACGAGTTCATCATACCGCGGTCGATCTTCAGGAAAAATCAATTCTCTAATTTCGGTAACTAGTGTGTGCTGCGGATAGAAATGAAAGAAATTAGGCGAATGTAAATATTTTCATTGGATGTAATTAAAAGAAGATGACATTCGTTGTCGTCAGAAACAGTTGAAAAAATATTTCAAGGCAAGTCACAAATGGGACATTAGTCGTTTGATAAAAACGACGATATTATTTTCTATTGCGTATGATATTGGAATTCATTTCTGTGTGAATGTGATGCTCAGATCGTCCTTGAAGATGAGGAAAAAGTTGTTTTATGAATGCTTGGGGTTAAATGCTGCCTAATTTGATTAAATTAGTTTGCAGACTTAGCCAATTTTGCAATGAATATAATCTCACACAATTCGGGACTATGAATATATTAGAACAGACACCAAACTATGATATTCATATAGAAATAACTCATCTTTAATAAGTTCTATCTCGTTAATCCACACAGAGAGGTTATCGACCACCCACTCAATCAGAAATGGATTAGTCTCATTAGAATATTCTTCTTCAATTCCAGTTTATCTTCCAAATTCCATCATGATTAATAGACAAAATAATCAGACAGACCACAGACCACACAAAATAGCTCTTTTATGCTTCACAACTTTTATGCTCAATAAATAAGAATTAACATACCTTTTCTGGGGTGTCTAACATTTCCAGTAAAATGGAAACGAAAGCATCCACTGTCAGTCCTCGAGCACCATATTCATTAATATAAAAAGATAGATTGGAAAATTGATGTCGTGGCAATAGACTTCGAGCTTTTTCCTCAACCATTGCTGATACAGGACATTTTCGTCGTCCAACATCCCACGGTTCGGGTTCAATTGTTGTACATGAATGTGGAACTTTACCAACATCACGTACAACCAGTGACATTCTTTTGTGAAATTTAAATTGATTTACTGCTTCGTCGTGGGTCACATTCATAAATGATTGTCCATTGACCTCGAGAATTTGATCTCCAACCTGTGTAGATGTATTGATTTATTAGTTTTTTAATAAAAAAAAAAGGTTGAAGCAATTTGTGTCCACAAGATTTTTTAATTGCGGACAGAAATTTAAGTAAAAGTGACTCACACTAAGTCCAGCACGATCTGCCACGCTATCCTTATCTACGCCGGTGACATAAATTCCTAAACCATATTCAATGCCACCTCGTATCATTAGTCCAAGAGATTGACCAGGCTCTATCACTAATTCAACACGTCGAACTCTAAATTAAAATTGACATTTTGTTCATTGCCATAAAATTAAATAAAATATCCATTTTGCCATCTCATTTAACCCACCTTTCATGTCTATCAGACCTTCGTCCTTCAAAGTCATAAGGCGGTGATGCTGGTCGACCATGTCGATCAATCCATGAGCAAGTTTGTCGTGAAGGAGGTGATAAAAGAGCTCCCGTCATTGGTGAAGACTTAAATACATCTGTGGCACTTGCCGGAGGTCCAAAACCATGCAGTGAAGTCGGCCCTCTCACCGTCATCGTGATTTGCCGCGATGATTTCAAAATCTGTACACATCTCTTTTCATGAGAATTTTGTCGATACAAAATTGTTTTTTTGTGTTTTTTATGATATGGACAATATTTTTTATAATTTTTTTTTTTTTTGAGAGAAGAATGAAGGATAGAAGTGTATATGTATCGATTTTTGAACGCGATTAGATAGATTACATATTTCATTTTGGATTTTATGTGACGTAGTGGGTTCCCAGTTTAATATTACACATGACAAATACATTTTTTTTTTGATGGGAACATAAACATGAAGAAGTAGAATGAGAAGAAGAAGAGAGAAAGAAGGGAAGGGAGAGAGCATAATAATAAAAAGTGGCAATAGAAATTTAAAAAGAGTAAAAAATATATTGCAAAAATAAATCATAATGACAAACTGTACAAATACATCATATAATCTGCACTTTATCCTATTTTTATTTAACTGTAGCGTGGGGAATTGGAAACTTTGGGATTATTTTTACTTGCAATTTACATAAAGGCACAAATTTTTCTCAATACGAGCAAGGACTTGCAACTTATGACATAAATGGTGTTAACTTGAATTATGCAGCAACGTTCAACTAAAATAAGCACTGTGAAATTTTGAGGAAAACATCAACAAACAAATAAACTGAAAATTACATTAATTAAACTAGAATGGGTTTCTACAATTTCTTTATATCTATATGCTTTGTTTTTGTTTGAGTGCTTTTGATACAAAGGATTGTTGAGCTTTGGCTTGTTATATTCTATGAGAGATTATGGTACTTTAAATTAAAAGGCTTCTTTTGAGTTTTTGCAACTAAATGCTATTTTGTTCATTTAATGGATATGATGTTGCATTTGATTTTATCCTCAATGTGTTTGGCTTCAGTTGAAACATAAATTGACCTTTAAGAGCTCGAGACAGGGTTGTATGAAATTAGTTTCCAGAATGGGGGTTAATAATTTATGAGGAGGCAAAATTTAAAAGCATTAAATAGCAAAAATCGGATTACAACCCTGAATTGAAACACATCAAGAATGAATGGAATGCTTTTACTCTTCACTAAGAGCATTCCACATCTTTTCATAAAACATCTCAAGTTCTTCAAATGCATTCCTTTAAAATTGTGCTGCTTATATTCACTACATTGACCTCATTTCTAACTTATTGACTATGTCTAGTGGATTTCTAAAATAAATCCCAATTGACACGACATTTTAAAGCAAAGGCAATGACATTAAATTATTCAAGCATTGCAAAACCATCGCTTTACTGCCAGCATCCTCATTTTAAGATTTGTGTCACTGAGAAGAAAAAAAAAAACATTCTACTCTACTGTGCATACTGATTTCCATCAATAAGTTGTGAATTTATACGATTTTTACATCACAAGTTGTGCTTTTATTGAGTCTGTAAAATTAAATGTAAAGTCATTAGTAGTCGGAATAGCGTGAAAATTGTAAAAACCCTTGTTTGAGGTAACAAAGAGAAAACATAAGAACTTTCTATTGCCAATAACTGTATCGCGCCAAATTAAAAAAGATACAACAATTAACACTTAAAACGTAATTTCATTAGTAACCACAAAACCGGCAAGATTAGTTGTTAATTCAAACACAAACTACAACTAACCGAAATTCTCGTAGTTTTTTGGTTACTAGAGATTATTGCTCATCCGATTATCATCTGTGGAAGCTCAAAAGCGTGAAATGTTCCACATTTATATTTTTTTCTATAGAAATGCATAAATGAAATTTTCAATTTTAAGCTATCCACAAGCTATATATTCATTCCCTCCAACCACGTAGACTTTTATTTCATGCATCTTCAATTTTCTTTAAGCATGCAGGCTTTTACACTGTCTCTGTGTTTGTATTCTCTGTATTTACGTGTATTTTATAAATAAAGGAAGAGGTTTGGAGTTTTATTTTTATAAATAAATTGCTTCATGTAATCAATAAAAGTCCACGTGAGTGAATATACGATTTTAATATCGTTGTTATCAATGTAAGTCGAGAATATTATGAAAAGGGATCATAATAGTATCGACTTACAATGCATTTTTTGTCATTTTTTTTTGGCGGGGGAGTAAAACAAACGACAAGTCATTTACCGTAAGTGCCTCATCGTGTGTCATTCCTGAGAAAGGTGTACCATTGACTTCGAGTATAGTGTCACCTGGTTTCAACCCTGAACGTTCAGCAACCGATCCTTCTTCCACTCGTGATATATAGACGCCGATACCTGATAATTGAGGGGTAAATTAAAATTTATTGTGAGTATTTTTAGAATATTGATCAATTTGTAGCGCTATAAGCCTTTACGAATACCATATATCTATATTTGAACAGTGCTATTAGCCCAGATATCTGGATCTACTGAGAAATAAAATAATTGCTCACCCGTTTCTCGTCCGCCTTTAACACAAATCCCAAAACCATGCGAACCATCTGGCTGCTGGTCTCGGGACATAGTAACTGTTCGAGTAATCATTGAACGATCACGTGCTGCTCTGTGATAAACTTGATGTGATGATGACGTAACCGGTGGAGAATTTCGGCCATTTGGTAGTAAATGATGATAGCTACTTGGTGTAGATGAAGATGAGGTGATTGGAAACATTCGTTCAGGCGATATAGGTCTCTTCTTTTGACCATTCTGTTTTAATGTGTCGAGGTAATAACCTCCTCTTGATTTGCTCGCAGCTGCTGCTAAAGGGTCACCAGCTGCGTTATAATAGTAATGTGGTGAATGTGAGCGTTCAATAATTGTATATGATGTTCCTGGTGGAGAATAATAACGACTTGCTCCTGTCGGTACAGAAGACGAACTATTACCACCACCACCTAATCCACATAGGGAGCCTGTACTATTTCCTATCGTTCGTGCTCGATCATATGTTGATATATCCTCAGCCTCATAACTATTTCGTATGTGAGTCATGCTGCTCGAGCCAACCGATTGATTATAAATTGCACTAACATTTCGTCTATTGTTTATTGATGAAGCTGCCCAACGTGGCTTTGTTCCTGCGGTGGTTGACGTTAGACCAGAAACTGTTGATGATGATGTTTCTGTTTTGTTTTATGAATATTGCGGAAATGAGAACAGAAAAAAAATTTATTGATTAAAATGAAAATTTTACAGTAGCGAATGTGCATGCGATTACCCAGGTCACAAAGCTCAGCATAATCATTACTAACTCCAATTAAAGGATCATTTATTGACGATGATCCTAAGCGCATTTCTTAATCTACAAAGAATGACAATTAAGTTTGATGATTGCATCAATTTCCATAGCAGAAAGTTTTAATACAAAAAGATAAAGACAGACAAAATTGGATACAATAAGAAGAAGTCTATTTTTTAGTAGAAATCAATAATTGAAAATGTCAGTAAATCATTCATCAACCTTTTCAAAATAAACCTCATTCAATATTCCCCTCCTCAAGTTTGCTTTTTATTATTCTCTCAATTTTCTGCCCATCCTTTTACCCATTTCATTATCTAGATTTCTATTAATTATTATGTTCGGAGCATATTTGAAAGTTTGATTGGAAAGTTTATTTTATCCAATTTTGTTTCTTTAGTGGTTCAAAGGAATGTGATCTATCCTATAAATTTTATTAAATAATACAACAAACATGTATTGCTGCATATATATTGTCTGAATCAGATAAATTCTGAGACAGAAATTTCTTCATAAAGATCGATTCTATATAAAGATAGAAAATCTAATCTACACAAAGATTATTTCTACATAAGGAATCTGTCTACATAAAGATTCGATGTAGATGTCTACAATTCTACATTCTTCTCTGATGTAGACCTGGAAAAAATGTAGAATTGTAGACATCTACATCGAATCTTTATGCAGACAGAATCTTTATGTAGAAATAATCTTTGTGTAGATTAGATTTTCTATCTTCATGTAGAATCGATCTTTATGAAGAAAGGTTCTTAGCTAGACAAAAACTATTGAAGAATCTACATTCTTCATCTAGTGTAGACATCTACATTTGCAACACTGTATAATATACATGTGCAAATGAAGACGATTGAGTTGGAATATTAGAAACTAAGGGGATGTGCTGATCAATTATTCTAAATATTTCATGAATAAATTGCTTTCGCTGACGACAGTTTTGCAAATTAAAAATGTGTTTTTGAATATAGTAGAAGTGGCACAAATTCTAATTCCCTTCTTCGGTTAGAAGATCAAAATTATGTGGCAATAATTGGCACGGTTGTTAAGATGTCTGTTTTATTTAAAATAAATTAAAATGTCATATGAATTGTTTCCTATCTTTCGAGGTTTTAAAATCTTTAATAGACAACAGCATTTTGTCATGTTAAAATTGAGGATTCAGCACAAACCCAATTCTTCTTTTTCTCGATTTTTTTCCTTAATTGAACATCAAAATATTTTAGTGTTTCGAAAGCTATTTGAATGAATATAAATTTTTATTATTTTATCCTTCAAATTACTAATAAAATGTCATGAATAGTAATTGAGGTGGACGTGAGACTTGCCACAAAAGTGGCTTTATACAATTTTTTTCACTATTCTGTATTAATAAAAATTCAGATCTAAAAGCTTCACGTAATATTTTGTGGCATCTGCATACAAATTTTTCAATACACCACATTTTTTAAGCTCAACTGACTCCCAATTTGTTTCGTTCAGCACAGTGAAGTGAAATCAGCTTTGGTTTTTGGTGGAAATGTGGAAATATTTGAGGTTAAATGAAATAAACATAGGAAAAATCCCAATTGGGAGAAATTATTTTGGTGAATTTATCACAGTGATGTTTTGTCCCTTAATGAAGGTCTTGAATAAAGTTGAAAGTATAACAAATGATTTTTTAAAATTCATGTGGATTTTCTTTTTATTTTTCCTCATCAAGCTTGAATTTCGTTTAGGTCAGGGAATTGAGGTATAGCAGAAAATTTTAAGATATTTCACGAGAAATAGAAAGACTTTTTTTAAGAATTTCATTGATTTAGTGATACTGAACGGAGAATATGCTGAGGGTCTTGGATTGTCTCTTGCAACACTTCTAGCTGTACGTAAATTGCGAAGATTCCTCATTATTTAAATGATTCTTTCTCCTTGACATTGAATTGTTCAAAATTTTCACAAATCACGACCCTTAAATCTTACAAAAATCAATTTATCATAAAATATAAATTCAATAATCCACAACTCCCACAAATTCAATATCTCAAATTCCCACTCTTAAAAACTGAAATTTACAGAACAAAAAATAATAATTTTATTATTACAAAATGATTAATCTAAAAAAAACTGTCAAACAATCTTTCTGTTAACATTCAAGTGCTGCTTAATTAAGTTTCAATTAAGATATTGATCGACCATAACAAATGGGGAGCGCACTTAAGCGATTGACATTAAACTTATTAATTTTTTAACAATATTTTATGAATTTCATCGTTATAAATAAATTTATTTGTGTCATCATCGTAAATCAACTGATAGGCTATAAAGAAAAAAAAAGCAACAACAATTCCTATCGTAACTAGCTTACTGACTTTGTTTCTGTTCTTCTTGTATTGGTTGTTAAATAATGTTTAGTCAATGAAATTGGGTCGAATGCTTCCATATTACATTGTAGTTTTTGTTTTCGATTCCAAATAGAAGCAGTGAAGGACAGTTGTCTTTATAGTTTGGGTTTTTATCGGATTGTTTACCGATACCGTTTTTAATTAATCACAGATGTTCGATCCGATTCATTGAATTGCCAACGTGTTAATTTATTTAAGTGTACGATTCAGTATGAAATAATGTTTGGTTGGGGTGTTAGGAGCTTGAACAAGTTGGATTTTACTAGCATAGGTCCAAAATCTTTTATCAATTAAGCAATTTTATTCGTTGTTAAACCCCGAGAAAGACCCTTTTGTGAAAAATTCGTGATAGTTCATAGCGAGGGTTACCAGATATTTTTAGAAAAAATAGAGGACCTGTAAGGAAATCACAGGACATCCTACTTGTTTACTTATTTTATTCGTTTTGTGGACGAATTAAAACAAAACAAAATTAATTTATTTTTGAAAAATTAAAAATATATACGACTGTCCTCTGAAAAACCAAGCATTTATAGAGCATTTTAAATCTTGGACTGTCTTAATTTTTGTTGAAAAAAATTAAGCCGTTCACTTCTTAATTAACGTGAAAAGAACAACTTTTCAGACCCTTCTTCCCCACCCAAGTCACAAAATGTGTGTGTAGAAAAAAAAAACTGAACTGCCACAAAATTTCAGCCTCCTCTACTCCTTTAAAAGCATTACATAATAATTGAAATAAAGTTTCTGGTCAAAACTCGATGATCAATCAATCATTTTTTTTTTTTTTTTTTTAAATTGATTCATTTATTGTAATTTAGTATTAAACTGTATTTTACAAATGCATAACGTTACGAAATTAACTTATTCTAATTGATTACATATCACACCATAGGTTCTTTAAATATAGATGCTCTCTTAAACGCGCTTTAAATAAATTGATACTATTAAATTTCTTTACTTCTGCTGGAATTTCATTAAATTCTGAAAACGCTCTGACAAAATAATTTTGAGCACCAAGTTTAGTGTTCACTTTCTGAATGACCAAATTGTTGCCATTTCTTGTCATATGCCTATGTGTTTGGCTGACAAACACTAACGGAAAATTAATTTTTGCAGAGTTATTAATAAATTTGAATGTTAGTAATGCTGAGGATAGTTGACACATAGCTGAGACTGGCAATATTTTTTCAGAATAAAGTTCCAAACGACTGCACAAATGATCCTTACATAACACAATACGTAGGGCTTTCCTTTGAATGATTTCAATAGAGTTCATGAGATATTTTGGCACGGCTGCCCATATATTGAGAAAGGATACCTTCATTATTGTAAAACATTCTCTTTATTCCATATAAAGTCATCAAAATCAGTTGCAAAGTTTGGATTTAAGTTCATTCAAATATTTGCTACTCCCACCAAGATCCTTGCTTATGGCAGTTCCATATTAACTCGCGTTAAATACTTCAACGCATACCATAATACCTTTCTACTCGTTAAGATTTAATATTTTTCCTTTGCTTAATTTTTCTCTTCAAGATCTAAGAAAGTGTCAATGAAACTTGTCAGAGTATATAGATGTCAAGCTAAGAATGCTTTTTTGCATTTTTCTGCTCCTTATTCTGACAGCACTGTAACCAAAAATTACTTTTAACATAATCCAATTAAGCAACTTAGTTGTCAAATTATCCGTCTCTATAATTTTGTCTACAAAAATGTAATGCAACTTTTTTTCTCGTTTTCCATGTAATTCCATTTTGGCGAGGAAGCCAGAACAAAAAAAAAATATAATAATTTCCACACTAATTTTTCCCAATTTTCATTTTGGCAAAGAAAAGGAAAAAAAGGCATAAATGGTAGAAATTTGTTTATTATGTTTGAAATGAGTGCAACAAGTTCACACAGAAAAACAGATTTCAATTATTATGTCTCAATGCCACTCACATTTCAATTGCACTAAATCATAAAACCTTGGCACAGGATTTTCCATTCTTTCTTTCTCGTACAATTCACATTCTATTTTTATTCTATCATTGTTCTTTGATCAAGATATATCTCAATATCCTCTCCATACAATGAACGGAAAATTTGATTTTTTCCTTTCCTTACTTCACCGTGAAAGTCATTGTACCACAACTAAAATACCATAAACAATTTAAAATCGATAGACATTGTAAAAAAAGTACAAAAAATGTCTATTTTTTCTGCGTAAAAACGCAATTTAATTTTCCTTCCTTTTCATTGACTATCTTATGCTTCCCTTTTTTGTCTTTTATTTTTATTTTTTTTTCTCTCCTTTCACTGTCGTCGATTCTGTTTTTTTTTTCACAATAAATTGCCTTTCATGATTTTCAAAGTCATTTACTTGTAGAAAAAATCGAAAGAAAAAGGAACTTTTTTATGTGTTTGGAAATTGATTAAAAATAAATGGCAAAAGAAATTTATTTATTTTTTTTTTGTTGCTCGATGAGGACACACGGGGTGGAAAATGGATTAAATATTTTGTGTGGAAAAGAAAAATTACCTAAGATGAGTAAAGTTGAAACTTTTTCCTTACAGACTTTTTCATGTGGTAAAAGCTTCTCATTTCTTATAATATTTTACTTTCATATATACGTGTATATTCCTTTTTTCCTCTTTCAATTCACGTTCTTTCTTTTATTTTTCTTTACTTATATTCCTCCTTACTTTTCGTTCATGCAACTTTTTTTTTACAGTGAAGAACGAACAAAAATTCACTATTCTCTTTTTTTTCCTTCCTTTTTTCTTCTTTTCGTGAGAATAATCTCGTTTATTTTTTCATTTTTAATTTTTTTAATTCACTCATTTCTATTGGCTTTTGGTGGAAAACTTTACATTATTTCAATTGCACGACACTTTAGTCTCTTAATTGTACAATTTTATCATCGACAAATCGATGAAAACATGCTAGGAATTTCACGAAAAAAAAAGTTTCTCGAGTAAAAGTTTTTTTCTGTTTTAGCACGATTTTCCTTTTTCTTAGCATAAGTTTTTACTTTAGCAAATTATCCTTTGAATTTTGAAGAATAGACTTTAGGTGGCGCACGTGTTGCTAGAGAGAATTAAGTAGATTTTCATAATTTTTATCATTTAAGAACTTAAACAACAAAACTTTATTCAAATTTATTTAAAAAGTTTACAAAATTAATTTTGAAATCTATTAAAATCCAAACTTTCATATCAAAAACATTTTAAAACTTTAAAAAAAATTATCAAAGAAAATCATTCAAAAATTCCCGCAGAAACACAAAAACCGAACACTGTTATTGTTTTGTATTTTTATTATATTTAGACAAGGCATCCAAAAAATATTTTGTATTGAAATATGTTAAGATTCTCAACTGTACGACCACTGATTTTAAGAGATAAGCAATGCATTTACTTTTTCACAAGAGGACTAAGTCAATTAGACAAAAAGCAAGCTATTGAAGCTGTCATAAAAAGTCGTGAACAATTGAAGGAAAGAGTGACGACAATAAGCACAACAGCACTTACTAGATATTATGAATTTATTGGATTTGATGAGATTGAGAGGGCTTACCAGAAGGTGACAATACTTCAAGAAGAGCTAGCTAAAATTCAAGGGGAGAGAACAAAAATACAAATGCAAATTCATCATACTGCAAAGTCCTTAACAAGCATACAGGAACAAATGCAAGACTGCAAAAGAGGAGATGCAAAGTACATTGATCTGATGAAAAAAGGTGAACATTGTTTAATTTTAATAGTTTCGAGTGACTTCATAAGTTCAAGTCATCAATTATGAGACTCTAGTTGCCAAAAAATTACGTCATGAATTATGACATGATTATTATCAAATTGGTGATATTAAAGGTTGAATGAGAAATGTCTCTTGAATGACACATCGTTATAAATTAATCACCGATGTTCTCTCAATGTGTTATCGTTAAAATCTTGACATATTTTCTAGATTAGAAAATTTTAAAAAACCTCAATTTCGACATGAAGATGTGGGTTCCATTCTCGTCAGATACTAATTAATAAATCATCAAATACAGTCTGACTATCTTGATTCCTACGACATCAAGCTAAAATATTATTTCCAATCCATTTTATTACAAGTTGAACTAATCTTTATCATTCAATTCCAGAGTTCGAAATAATTCAAGAACGCAATCGTCTTGAAGAGAGATTCGAGATACTTGACAATCAGGAACGAGACTATTTTGCACATCTTCAAGCGAAAATCAATATGTTGCATGAAAAGAGTAAAACCAATACAAGGAAATGGGGTGTCATAAGTACAATCATGGGTGCTTTACTTGGAATAATTGGTACTTCAATATCGGCGTATTATCGAAACAATGACATTAAGAGAGTTCAAGAGGATTTTCATAAAGAATTTCATCTTCAAATCGAAAGAATAACTAAAGATACAGAACAGATCTTAGAAGGATATGACAGCTTGATGAAATATTTGAATGAGAATGAACTAGTTGTGCAGCAGAAGAAAGTACCAGAAATTAAGAATCAAGAGTCATGGATGGGATATTTTGGAAGGAAAACTGTATCTGTTTGGCGATGGTGTACTTTTCAAAAAAGCTAAAAGCAACTCCAATTAGTGATATTCAAAATGCATTTATTTAAAATAAACTTGTTAAGATATAAAACAATTTAAGAGATTGACTCTTTGCTTCAACAAGTTTTTGTTGGCTGTTTTTGTGAATAAAAGAATCAAAAAAATTTATAAGGCACATGTTTTCAAGTCTTTGACTTTTTTAAGTCTCGGCGAGCATCGCCAACTTTTCCTTTTGTTTCTTTTTGCTCTTAAACCAATGCCTTTTGTGCTTTTTCTTCTCCGTCTCGTCATTAATTTCCACTTCATTGCTCTTTACTTTCATTTCTTTTGGCATGAACATGCTGTACCATTTTTTACGTTTTAATTTCGTACTTTGAGTCATTTCCATTGAGGATTCACCATTCAATTCGTACGTACTATGGGACTGATTGTTCTGATAATACAAACCATTTGGCTTCTCTTCTAAAGACATCATGGATGCTGAAGATCGTAGTTTTCGAGGTGGTGGCATTATTTTCTGTTGAGGTACTACCTCTTGCACAGGTATGAGCTTCTTTGATGATTTTTCAGGGGTCACTGGACGTTCGCTGAAATTATAAACTAATTCCTTTTGATTTGTTGGCTTATCAATTAAATTTGTGGTTGTTATCTTGTCAATGGAATGCCTAGAACAAATAAGTTCGGTTAAATGTTTTTTCATTAAACTGAGGAAGAAGATTGGGTTCTAATTTCATTATCTGCCTAACGTCATACTTACTTATCAATATTATTCACTGCCTTAATCTCCTTACTATTAACTCTTAATGACGTATCTAACTTATCCCAAAAATTAAATAGCTTATTATTTCTGAAGTAGTCTAAACGGAAACAATATCTTAACATTTGTGGTAAATTACAGTCTGGTTCTAAAACACATGGAATGATTTTCCTCCGTCCTTGCTCAATTCCCAATGCTTGTGCGTAATTTGTTATGAAAATTTGCATTGGACTCATCAAAAAGGCTTTTGATACAATTAGGATGAGATGATTGCATCGCTGTGATAAGAGGCTTAAAATTGCGTCACTTTCAAATGAGAGGCCTGGAAGTAAATCTCTGTCCTTTGCGCAGAGATTATATCCATTATTCTCTAGTCGCTCTATAAGCTCTGTCGCAAATTCAATGTCTTTATCATTATAGATAACGAAAGCATCATAATTCGGAAGCGGTAATCCTTTTTCACTGAATTCAACGTCCTTAATCGTTATAATATCGTTGTCGGGCTGCCCTTTGATGATTTCGAATTTTGTTGTATCCTCATTAAGTCTTTTCGACCGTAATTTAGTCAAGTGTGCTTGAGAATCTTCAACTACAATTAAATTGATAAGTAAATGTCGATTGTTATTATTTTAAATTTAAATTGATAAGGAGATAAAGAATGCAAAACAACTGATAAGATAATATTATTTTCGACTAAATCCACACACGCTATTTTTATATAATGTTTAGATAAATACTGGATTTTTGTTGAGCATCAAAAATACGTCAATGAAATATTTTCACAGTTATTTATCGAGTATTAGATTACGCGAACTTGAAACTTACCGAATAATGATAAAGTATCATCAAACACATCATATCTATCAATTATTCCAAAACACTGTTGCAATTGACTTAACGTAACTTGAGAATTATTTTCGTCAATTTTTTTATTCCACAGGTCAAGAAGCTTTCCCATTTTATCATCTATTTGAGATATTACAGTGTATTCACTTTGATTCATCCCTGATAGTCCAAATATTCCTCTCCAATCACGATAAAGTCCATCTTCATTGACTAGCACCTTTTCTGGATTTAGCAGAACTGATAATTTCCCTCTAAAATCATCCATAAATGATTGATGAATCAGGAAATAAAAATGTTTATTGCTTTTTTTAATTTGAAATCTCTTACCTGCTTTTTTGTCGCAATGCACTGATTGGGATGTCTTCGAAATTCACTCGAGGTTCAATGAATTCATTCGATTCTCTCGGTTCCATGTTAAAAAACATTCCTTGAACAATTACTCATAAATTAAAATAAAATTTTAAGAAATAATAATAAACATTGTCTATACTGATTGACACACAAAAAATAAATGAGAAATGGAACTGATTGGAGTGTAGAACACTAGGTGGAGCTTACAAAAACAAAGTGAGCTATGTGGAAAGTTTATCATCCAAAAGCTTTGATAAAGTTTCTCAAAAATTCCTCTTAACTGTATTTGCAAAACTTACCCTTGAACTTTTTGATTGGTGAATGTGCTGGATTTTTTGTTGCTTGATCGTTTAGTGAGAGAAATGTAAATACCCGATTGGATGACGTTATGAATGAACGTATTTCCCCACATTGAATAATTGCCTATATAGGTACGATCTTAGTGAGATGAGAAAAAGTATTATAATGCGGCATTTTTCTTATTGTAGAGAAAAGATTCTGTTATCAGCATTGCCAAAAAAAATATGAAGAAAAATTTATATTGTTTAATTGTTCTTTAAATAAGTGTGACTCACTGGAAATGACTAATTTTTTAAATGATGTCTAATCAGCTAGATTTTTAAGAGATCTTTTATAAGGAACTTAAATGAATGATCTTCAAGTTCAAGAAATTTTTATCAACAGTAGATGTTACTAAGTAAAGCTTGGGCGTATATACAATATTTTTAAGAAGGGGTCGTTCACTTATGACATCCAAAACTAATTTTCTTTTTTCAAAAAGTTGTTCTTTTCTTGCTGACCCCCCCCCCCCCCCCCTACCAATGGGAGAATTAGAATAAAAAATTTCACCCAAATAGTGGGGGGGGGGGGGGCTTAAGGCCCTCCCTTGTTATGCCCCTAGTAAGGCTTCAAGCATTTTATCTTTTAAACTTGAATATCTTACTACTTTTCATATTACTTAAACAAGTGAAAGACGAAACAAAATAATGATTTTGCGGATTTAATACATAAAACTGCATTAAACACAATTTAATAACACAAACTGAAAATGAAAGTAAACTGGCTTAACTCAAAAAGAAAACATCAAATAATTACCTTCGATAGCTCAGTTGGTAGAGCGGTGGACTGTAGTGGTTAAACTTGTTTCAAATAAGTTAAACAGATATCCATAGGTCACTGGTTCAAATCCGGTTCGAAGGAGAAATTTTTCTTTTTTATTTGAAAACTCTTTGATTTAAAGGATGAGTGAGATGTGCTTTAAACTTGACCTATAATTTCAAAAATTAACCAAGAATGATGTTGATTGAAAATAAGATTTAAAGACATTGTTGTCAAAATTTAAATATTGAATTCTCATCAGATCCGTTACCGACGCTTACTCCAAAATGGAAAGAGAAGCTAACAAGATCGGGCTTCGTGTGAATGAAGACAAAACAAAGTTTCTCATGGTGGCAGCATCTGAAAGAACGAGGAAGTTTGTTGGGTCTCATTTGTCAATTGGCAGTAAAAGATTCGAAGTGGTAAATGATTTTGTCTACCTAGGGTCGATTATTAGCAACAATTTTGACACACAAGTGGAGATTAAGCGAAGGATCTTGGCTGCGCAGCGTGCATATTTTGCAATTAGACATTTACTAACATCGAAGAGAATAGCGAGAAATGCCAAACTAGTGATGTACAAGACACTAATACGCCCAGTAGTGTTGTACGGTTCTGAGTCATGGAATATGACTATCGCAGATGAGAACGCAATTGGTGTATTTGAGCGTAGGGTCTTGCGAATGATATTTGGACCGAAGAGAGAAGGTGACTTTTACAAAAGCAGGAGTAACGCAGAATTATATCAGCTTTTCAATGAAGCTGATATCGTACGACGAATCAAAGTCAACAGACTCCGTTGGGCTGGACATGTCGTTAGGAGACCTGTTGAAGCTCCCATTAATAAAGTCTTTAAGAATGTTTTTGTAGATGGCAAAAGAACACGCGGGCGACCCAAGAACTCTTGGAAAGAAGCTGTTGACAGAGACAGTATTGCATTTGGTATGGTTAATTGGCAAACGGAAGCCAGCGACAGAGTCAGCTTCAGGCGCCATCTAAGGGAGGCCATGGATCACAATTGATCTGTACGGCCAGCGAAGTAAGTAAGTAGAATTCTCAAGAACATTCCAAAAGAATTTTAAGATTCTTAAAAAGTAAATCTAGAAATTAATTAAAATTTAAAATGCAACAAATATTAGTCAAAACCTCAAAAATGTTTGTTCATGAATCTCTTCCTTTTTTTTTATTGAAAAATAAATACATTTAGTTGGAGTTATAATATGCATGTATATAGATACTTTTCATCATTCAACTAAATTAATTCAATAAATTATAACATTATTATATTCCCTATTAATTCTCTTGAAAATATTCATCTCTAAACTTTTATAATTATAGCAATAATTTTTTTTTAAATCATTTAGATTGAAAGACATTTTCATGTTTCTAATTTGTGAAACTTTCAGTCAATTTATTGTTACGCATTTCTATTTAATCAACTTACTTTAAATTGTTTTCATTTTTATTTCAATTATTTTTTTATCATTTCATCTAGTAGATTTGTTTAGGCCAATTTTCGTAGAAACTAATTTGTATGCTTTTTTTTTTCTACCATAAAATTTTTTATGCTTATTCTCCCTTCAATTTCAAAGAGCTTTATTTATAATTTATTAAAGGGTCAATTAATATTTATAATCTTCATAAAATTGAAGGAAGAAGCTAAAATTATATTGCAAATAAATCAAGGCTTAGATACTTTATTTTATGATGTTTAAAGAGTTTAGCTGTTAAGTTTCTGGTGGACAGATTTTGTTGCATTATCTCTATGAATATTATATTATGTTACTATTTTATTAAAGGTAAGAATGTCACTAGTGTCCATCATCATATTTCAATTATCAATATTGGTGTTTATTAATAAATTTCGATAGACAAGAGCAATTCCATCCTAAAATATAATTTGACTAAGTGATCTATTTTCATTTCCAATAAAAATTTTATGCTGACTGTTGCAATCAAACTGGTCCATTGGATCATCTAAGAGCATACTGAAAGAAAATTAATATGATACATTCGAATGCTACGAAATGATTCGACTCATTGACATTATTAATCTACATCACAATTTATTAATTACTTTTAAGATCTGTGAATGCTACGGAAAGTTGAAATGTTGATGCACACACAATAAAGTTTTATGCTGGGTTATCAAGCCTTGATATTGACTACTATTACAATATTTCATGTGATTAAAAGATAAACTAAGTTATGGAGAAATTTAATGGAATGTGAATGATCTGAGTGATATAAAATTTCTAATTGAATTTTTGGATATTCTTGGAGTTACTTTATGAACAATTCAGCATAGAATCAAGAAAAAATATTGAAGATCGAATCTATAAATCTGAATCAATTTAGAATTTTACAATTTAAATCAAATTTAAATATCAACTTCGTAATGAACTGGCATTCAACCTATACAAATATGAATTACTCTCTCAACAGGTAAGCAATCGATATTTGAATATCATTGAACTTAAAAGTCTAGGAATTCGATTGCAACTCATTCGAGTATGAAATAAAATTGCTCTAAAATTAGAACCTAATCATGAATTGAGATGCCTTCAGACGTTTTCAATCGAGAAATGCCTACACGCACCGGTAATTTTGAAATTTTCTAAACGTGACGCATTTTTCTAAGACTTCACCAAGCTAGAAACAATCGATATTTTTTGAAGATTTTGAGTAGGTCAAGAAAGAAATTGTTTGATGAAATAGCTCGCATATCTTCATGTTTTTTGGAGCATTCAAGCATTCATTTCCACCTACTCAACATCCATTTTATCTCAGATTTACGTCATTATTTTGAAATTATTCTCCCCATTTCGTAATCCAAGAATATGATATAACAAAACCTTAGGGAGAACTATCGTATGAAAGGTAATTAAATCTTAAACTAAAAGCTATGATTAATATAATTAATTCCAGTTCATTTAACTAAAACGTATTGAAACTCATTCAAAGTTATTCCTTTGATAATATATTGAAGAATTCATGGATGATTAAGGGATCTTCCATTAATGATGTTCAGGTGTTCTCAAGTTGTAATTGATTCGAGATGAGTTTAATGCAACCAAAGACCCTCCTCTAAGATTTGAATATCAATTTTAACGGCTTCATAAGAGATTGAAGCTTCTGATAATTTATGGCACTCAGATTTAATGACTAATGAAACTATTTGCTGATTTCAAAGCAACTTATGATACGGAATTTGCTCATAAAATTATCTTCTTTGGTTTGATATTTAAATTCTTAAAATAATTTTGTGCAATTTTCTATTCTAAGAATTTTCATCTAAAACTTTTATATTCTAGATGTTAAAAAGCGCTCAATTCAGCTGTATACATACAAACAGGATAATGATAATGATGATGATGTATAATAATTTAAATTTAAGTGGAATGTTTTAAACAATCTTGAGATGCTTTCGTTTTATTCAGTTGCTTTATGATAAATACCTTAATTTACCCGTGAATGTATACACCTTAATTAAGCTGAGATAATTAACTACAATATTTCTTTCTTCTTCCTCATTTTTTTCCTGTTTAAAACTTAACAAAATTATCGACAAAAAAGATAAAATATTTCGATGATCTTGTCGTAGAAGCTTATGCTAGCTAATTCTTTTTACATAAATTACTTAACGTTAATTAACTTATAGGTTCGTTACATTTTTATTACTGAATAATATTATCATCATAATTATTCTAAACCCAATTTCCGAAAGTCTAATGAAAATTGCGCATTTCCTACTTACTTCGTAGTTACTGTTTTATGTTATTTCGTTTCTATTTTGTACATAAAAGAGAGTGGACAGATGAATAATCTATTTTTCCGTTCCTAATGTCGTTCAACTTTCCATTTCAATGGACTTGAAGAAAATGTTTTTCATTTGATGATATGTCGTTGAAAAAAAAAGATAATTCAATGCCTTCCAATAAATCGATAACTTTCAACGCAATTTTTGGTGGAAAATGCTCCTTCGGTTACTTAAGAATCAATCCAGCAGATTCTAATTGATTTATTAATTTCCACACAAAATGCGCTGATTCATCTAATAAACTTAATCAAACTTAATTTAGTTTTTAAATCCTAAAATGCTTACACAAGTTTTCCAATAAAGTCTAACTGTCTCTCAGCGATCGAGTGGAGGGCAAAGAGGATTTTATACCCTTTTCTAATTTATCTGCATCGCCAGCAGAAAATCTATGAATTTGTGGAGCTTTATTTACACCAAGACTATTACGCTTCGGGATTATTTCATTCGATGCTGAAAATGCTTGCCTTTTCCGTTTGTCATTTTCACTTGTGATTAATGCACAGCTCTCGTCAAAGTCATCCATATACCCTAGTGAATCAGTTAAACTTTCACTTGATATGGGTTCATATATTTTAGATCCAGTTTTATTACCTGAACGACTACGAATCAGAACTATCGGCTGCTGCTGCTGTTGCTGATGATGGTGATGATGATGATGATGATGATTTTGGTGCTGTGGATGTTGATATTTTTCCGTAATATCCCCCGATGCTCTTGATACAGAACAATTTGAACTCGATTTCGATAATTTGTAGGACGAATTTTCTTTTATGATCGAAAAGTTAATATTATTTGTGTAATTTGTTGTTGCCTCATCTTCATCCGTATCATCTGTATTTTCCTTCATTTCAAGCAGTGCGTCTGTAGATTTCGAATTATCTTCATCGTTCTCGTAAATACGCCATGATTGCTCTTGTGGATGCTCCATCAGTACCAAATTACTATTATTATCTTTATGAGTGGAAAGGTCATGTAAATTACTACAACTCGGTTCATTTGAAATTGCTTCAGGGATGGGTGTGAGGATGCTTAAGCAGTTAACAGGTTTCATATCGTTTCCCATTAAATTGACTGGTGTATTGACGCTCAAAATATTTAATACTAATTGCGAATTTGTTAAAACTGTGGATGGGAAGGGAAACAAGATTAAATTGATTATTGATGTGATGTTTTTGGAAGTGTGCTAATTTTAGATTTGTAAATGTTTCTCATGTTATGCTACTGTCTTCTATTTTGTAGAATATAACTCATCTAATCGAATTTTATTCAATTGAAACGTTTATAAATAGGCTTTACTTAAAATTTGATCTTCTATTTTTGAATTGGGAAGCTATTCACAGTTATATTCTCGTTAACTACTTTAATGTAGGTGACTTTAAAATCTATTGTGCAGGATCAAATTTTAATATGTATGATGATTTTTGAGCATACCATGCAATGATTCACAAATTTATTTATGAATAAACTTAAAGGAGTCAAAAATTCTAAAAGTGTAGTGTCGTGGGCATTATGGGAATCCCTGTCATATTAATCGTACTCTTTAGTGTGATTGAGAGATCGGTCTTTGATCGGAATCAAACCCACATCCTCACAAAAGAGCGTTACATTATGGCAGACGCACTTACATATGGTTCTATCACCCAAATTCCACTATGCTTCGACACCACACATAATATGTAGATATAGGTGAAATTATAGGGAGTGGTTCAAACTACAATATTCACCTCCTACTAAATTACTGTTCAATTAAAATTGATTTAAAAAATTGGAACACAGATTTGATATGTGCTTAATATGTCACCCATCGAAAAATATGAAAATTCACTTACATTTCAGTAATAAACAATTTGTGGTTTAATATTGTAATTATTTGTTTGTTCCTACAATGAATATGAGATTAATTAATTCTTATTGATGATGACTTGTTGAGCTTTCGTATTGTATGCAATACCAGCTTTATAGCTTAATGATACACTTTAAAAATTCTATACCCAATCAAACTTTTATGTTTCTAGTTGCATCCCCAAATTTTCAACTAAACAACTACAACCATCAACATCATATCTCTCATCATAATTGACACGCAACAACTCAAGCCAACTTATCAACCATCAATACAGTTTACTGCTTACCTAAATTTTCTAGAAAATCGTAGTCATAAGTCGTTTCCGTTTGTGTAGATTTATGATTCACGATATGTGATGATGATTGGTAGACCGATTGACTGTTGAACAGAATAAATTTATGCAAATCATTCACGCATTGAGTAATAAGAAATAGTTCAGCATGACCTACCTATAAAGATCCGAAATACTTTTTATTTGCTGATTACTCCGATGCCAAAGTTCAGCCGGTTGTGATGAGCTACGTGTCATGTATTCGAAAACCATATGTGAATTGTTAATTCCATTTTGAAGGTTAGGAATCGACCTGGCTGGATGATTATCGATGTGTGTGAGAGTTGTGTAAGCCATTTCCTGTAAAGCTTGAATTGCATTGCGTACTTCAATACTCAATGTAGCAACATCTTGATGAAGTGTCGAAACTTGTGTATCTAATCGCTCCATTGAACTTCGGTGATGTGTGTTTGGCTTTTCATCCTTTATCATTGGGGCTTCTTCTTCATTCTCATCATCCGAAATATTATTCTCTATAGACTTTTTATTACTTTTAACACTTACTGGACTATTATTGACACTTGACCCTCGAGATTTTGTTGATTTCTCTTTGAGGGCTATAAGCGTCTGTCTTCTGTAAAAGGAAATAGAATGACACAGAGAAGGAAAAAATCAATAAGTATCAATCAAGTTCTAGGATTATAAAATAGATCTTGACATTTACTTTTGCAAAAGCTTCGTATGACGTGCGGGACTAGCAACTGAGACGCCATGAATAGGCGACCGAGTAATGCTGGGATGCCGTGGAGACGAATTATTGCTAATTCCATCTTCCGCTATATTCTCATCATCTTCACTTATCGAAGGTAGAGCTAAGCATGGTCCGTTATTTTCAGATTCTGTTTCTGCCTCATATCCCTCTCGTAGATTGTATGTTAAATCATGCTGAATGTCATTTGCAAATTCTTGTTGATACTCAGGATATAAACGTAAAACCTCTATCAAGCCACTAATGTGAATACACTTTAGATCACAATAAGTTAATGCCTATTAAATGACATGAAAATTCTCATAAGGTTTGGATGCTAAAATGTCATTAATGGTTCACATACTTTTACGTCTGAACTGCTCTTCAAAATTAAATCTTGATTACCACCACCTGAATTTCCTGTTTGTCCATTATGCATCATATTTATTGATATATCACAGCCTACTAAGTCTCCCTTACCTTTAAAATGAGAAAGAAGAAGGAATTAAAGACACTTTAAAGTTATCAAATTAAAGATAATTGAATTTCATCAAGCAAACACACGAACACAATGAAATGGAAAAGTTTAATAATCTTTTGTGATGAAATTTTTCACGTAAAATGAAAGATACACATCGCTCGTAGCCGCAAGCCATTGTGATTCTTGAAAATTGTTTTTTGGGATTAAATGATTCACATTTGCTTAAATATTTGAGGATGAAAAAAATTCTAGATGCTTTTTTTTTTCAAAAATGAAAAGATATGAGAAATGACGACATACTAAAAAGGGGTCGTTTGCTTATTATGTAACAATGGAAGTTAAAAGAAGAGATTTTTTTCTTAGAATTTTTATGAGTGAGAGGAAGTAAGGTTGTTCTAAATGTTGTTTTTTGCGTTACGTGATGATTGAACGACCCGAAGATAAAATATGTTTGTGTTGAATTTCGGAAAATTTACGATCGATAGGCTTAAAACAAAAGAAAGCATTAACATGTACAAAATGGATCATAAAAATTGAACTTGAATGTTGTTTCTCTAGGGACTATATTCTGATGCTTTATGATTTTTTTATGAGAGATAATAACCGAGATTTACTTGAGAGTAATCAAAAAATTTGCATCATTTCCGTTCTAAAAGCCCATCATGTATTAAAAGTTATATCTATGATTCTATGAAGGAACAGCCCCTAATTGTCCTAAATAATTGATTCCGCATACTGAAACTCTTACAAAACTTAATTATAAGAAATCTATTCAAATCATTTAAGAACATTTCAAGTAGGATTCGTATTAAAGCTATTCTCAACTACTTAAGCATCAACTTTCATCACGTATCAAGAAAATTCCAAGCTATAAGATTTCTGCGAAATGATACCAAAATATGTAGAATACTTGTGGTTACATTTCAAAATATTACAACATTTATCGTTTATGTTAGAGGCATAAAATGATATGAAGATCATATTAGGATACACGAATATTCCACAGAAATGACAACACCAATTTATATACAGCTTCTAATTTCGATAAAAATCCATTAGAATTTCTTCTTGGTGCACAAAAGATTATCGTAATCCAGCAGAAGATTATTAAATAATAAGAATAATTGATTATGAATAACTTACCCAAAATTGCTACTACCATATTGTTCTGCATAACCTCCATACTTCCATTACAAATATAATATATGTATGCAAGAGCATCTCCTTTATGTATTAAGAATTCACCCGGAGCACAGAAATTTGTTTTGATATGCAATGACAAAAGTTTCAAACAGCCTTGAGAGGCGGCTTCAAATATTGGTAGTTGTAAAATCTCTCGATGTAAATGCATGCTAACATCACCTCTTAATTCTTCTGGGAATTCTTTGAGAGTCTATAAAGTAAAGTAATAAATAATAAAACGCAATAAAAAGATAATGTTCTTATTTATAGCTGATTCATATTCATAATCTTATTTTTAAATCCACACCGTTTTCACTTGTGAATCTATTGATTTTGTTCAGATTGAAAAATCAGTTTTTTGAATTTTGTGAGGATATGGAGCAAGATAGCTTAAAATGTTCAGAGATGAAAAGTTTGTGCCTTGAATTTCACATCTTTTGCAAAAAACAGATTTCAAATTGGTTGCGGCATTACTGAGAAAATCGCAAAATACGCTTTCTGTAAGCAAACAAGCAAGCAAGCAAGTTAATCAGCAAGAAATCTCAATAACGAGACATCGTAGAGACTTCTAGTTTTTTACATTTGATCCGTGCTGCTCTAAAGAAGAGCTGTATTGTTTTTAGGCAAGGTAGGAACAGCCGTTGCTTCAGAAAAAGCAAAAAACTTTCCTTTCTTACGAATTTTTCAAATTAAAAGTTCACTGTGATTTTTTTTTAAATTAAACTTTGGATGAAAAAATTTTTTTTGAGCAAAGAACCAAGAAGGAAATACATTTTCAATTTTGGACAAGGGACGACCCTAGTCAAAATCAATTTTGTCACTTTTTTCTTCGAGGGTTTATACAAATGGATTGAAACTTTGCATAAATATTCTAGTGCTTAAAACAAATACAAATAAAACATCCTAAAATTTTTTTGAGCAAAGAACCAAGTAGGAAATACATTTTCAATTATGAACTTGGGACAGGTCCAGTCAAAATCTAGTTTTTCACTTTTTTCTTCGAGGATAAATCCAAATACAGTAAAACTTTGTATGAGCATTCTAATCCTCAGGTCACACATTTCTGAATTAATAAAAATCATTTTTTTGGAAAAATTTTAAGTCAAGTTGTATTTATATGTAGAACCAAATTTATAAAATTTGGGTCTGACGACATATAGAGTACATTACTTGCTTTAGATATTTAAAACTGTTTTGTATAAATATTAGTATACTCACACAAAGTTTCATTGTAATTGAAAAAACCTTCGAAGAAAAAAAGTGAAAAACTTGATTTTGACTAGACCTGTCCCAAGTTCATAATTGAAAATGTATTTCGTACTTGGTTCTTTGCTCAAAAAAATTTTAGGATGTTTTATTTGTATTTTTTTTAAGCACTAGCATATTTATGCAAAGTTTCAATCCATTTGGATAAACCCCCAAAGAAAAAAGTGACAAAATTGATTTTGACTAGGGTCGCCCCTAGTCCAAAATTGAAAATGTATTTCCTACTTGGTTCTTTGCTCAAAAAATTTTTGAGATGTTTTATTTGTATTTGTTTTGAGCATTAGAATATTTATGCAAACTTTCAATCCATTTGGATAAACCCCCAAAGAAAAAAGTGACAAAATTGATTTTGACTAGGGTCGCCCCTAGTCCAAAATTGAAAATGTATTTCCTTCTTGGTTCTTTGCTCAAAAAAATTTTGAGATGTTTTATTTGTTTTTGTTTTAAGCACTAGAATATTTATGCAAAGTTTCAATCCATTTGGAAAAACCGTCGAAGAAAAAAGTGACAAAATTGATTTTGACTAGGGTCGCCACTAGTCGTTACTTTTGATGGTACGGTGTGAATATATCCGCATTGGGTTTCTACCCGATACACTAGTTTACAGCATGTTTGGTGCGTACTCACCTCGTTAATATCAATACCGTGATTCATAGACCATACAGTCTGAAAGTAATCCTGCATCCGTTGTTTTAACTCATTTGGCATCTATATTATATGAAATAAAGTGAAGAATATAAAATTAAAAGGATTTTGTCATAAAATTAACATAAATGTTCCTTAAAACTTCAAATTCAGACCCTTCTAAAGTTCCACCCAAATTTAGCCACTTTATACTCGTGCATGCAAGTTGTTACCTTCAATAAATCTTACTTAAAACGGACAACTATATAAATGGACTATAATTAGCAGCCATTTATTATTTAATCTGACTATCAAGAAAACAAAAATGTCGATCTTATGCTTTTAACTTGTACGTGCTCGAGGCTGAAAATTAAATTGATTCTCAACATCAGCGAGAATCAATGGATTTCTACTTTTTCTTGAAAATCGTTTACATTTAAATGCCGTCATTTAAAATAAAAAAAAAATGTAATGATAATGGTTATGGAAATACAAGAACTATGAACTTTGGGAATTTATAAATAATAACAAGTTGGAGATTTAATTAAATCCTTGAAGAAGTTGGGCGGTATTTTTTCTATAGATTAATATGACTAAGATCAATGAGAATCTGAATTGTTCTTTATTAGTGAATTCTTAAATGTTTAAGATATTAAGACGTGACGCATCCATTCATTATCAATAATTTAATAGTAAAAAGACTGAAAAGTAGATCATAAAGTGTCTCTTTTCATTGAAGCTGTCATAAAAGAACATTTTTATGTAACATTTAATTTCTTGGTTTTAATAGATTAATATTAAAGCAACTAGACAGAAGAGTTTATTCCTTCTAAATTAAAACTTCAAGCAAGCATTTTGCCTTTTATAGTTCCATGTCACACTTTCTATGATGTTATTAAGAAGTGAGAACTATACATTAAGAGGAAATAATACAGCTACGAATCTAACTTTCTACTAATATAAATCATGTGAATAAATCTGGCATAGGCTGAAAAGTAAGTGAAAACAACATCGGAAATATTTCCAACTCAATTTCTCATTGTTATTCACTAAAGAAATGGAAAGAGATTGAAACGAATAATAAATGGTATTTCCAGTTGGGATAATTGTGGTGGTTCTAGTCAGGGAGGCTTGAAATTTTGATGGAATTTATTGATAAGATTTTTTGGGTTCAGTGAAAAATCATGTTTATCAAAAATTTGGAATTCAAGGATTAGAAGATTAATATGCCTCTTAACCAGTAGATGATCGACGTCATAAACGAATTAATCCTTGTTGACATCAACAAAAAAATGCTGAGCATCTAATTATAGCTTTGTGTCTCAAGCAATTTATATTAATCAGAAAATGCTTTAATTTTCTGCATAAATGCTTCGATCAAGTCTATTATTATGTCTAGAATCCCTAATTAATAAGTGTGAATTGTAATCGACGATGCGAAAACTTTCATATAGCATAAACAAAATTTTTCCCTCTTGTGAGCACTTAAACGTGGTTAAATAATATGGATATGTGAATAGGCGGTTGTGTGTTGCCCGAAGGTGAATAATGTTCATAAGAATCTATAAATAAACAAAATAAGGACATGAAACCGAAATTGTGAAAAAAAGAAATCTTAACGAAGAAATCACTCAATTTTATTGCATAGCATGACCGAGCTTTTAATCATCCGTAAACTTTGAAATGTTGTTTACCTCATCGACACATATATTCACACATTTATCACAATAAGCGTCAAATTCAAGGAATAAAATTTACCATAGTATGGATAAATAAAAATAAGTGAACAGACTATTGAAAGTGTTATAGCACACGAGTCGCATACAAATATGGCACAAGAGATAAACGTCTAGAATAAAATTTCAAGAAATAAAGAACTTACTTGATGTAGAGCTACAAAATCTTTTAAATCTCGCCATTTGCTATGATATTGTGATCGTCTTGCGTACATTCGTTGAATTATAGCTGTGACGTTACCAAAGACAACGGCATGCATTAAAGCTGTAGAAATGAAAAGAGAAGTTAAATATTTTCCCTTAGTGGTTACAGAAAATTACACTGCCAATTGACACGAAATGATGAACTTATTTTGTCGAAAATGTCAATGTCAGAATAATGGATCAGCGTTAAATTTCCATTTCTCACATTCACACTTTTCCCATGACGATCGACAAAAAGTGCATAACATGAGAGTGTATTGTATGCTGTTTATATGTGTGTAAGATAAAATCAAATTTCCTCAATAAATAAAAATGTAAATTTTCCTTCCTCTTCTTCCTCTTTTCACTTTACAGTAAAATTTTATACGTATTTCAATGATAATCGAATATATAAATTCACATCGTGATGATGCATGGGGAAAAAGATAAAGCTAGTTAGAAAGTCTTCAATGTCGATGAAATAAACGAATGAGGAATTTTGTTATGTCGAAAATTTGATATTCAAAGAAACGCGATTGGGTTCAAAATTGTCAGAATTGGCTTTAGAAGATTGATTTGTTTTGATCTAGGCATTTTTTGCGTGTCAGGTTGAATTTGAGTTTAGGCAAGAATTCGGTACTTTAAGATAGGGGATTCAAAGTATCATTTTGCCAGCCTTGAATTCACATTTATTGGAAAAATAAATGAAATTCTCAAGCTTTGGTACCTGAGAAAAATGTTAAGCTATAAAACCCTCATTTTCACCACCATTTATTACATTTTAAAAATATTTTGCAACCAGTTCACATGTGAAACGTTCAGGGACTAAGCCAGGAATTTTAAGAAGGGGAGGGAGGACCTGGCAACCTTAAATCATTGAATATTCAATTTTATTGGCTTGATTATTTGAAAACTAAGTTTAAATTTTGAATTGTTGGAGAACTAGTAAAGTGGTATAAAGCTGAATAATTGAATCAGAACTTTCACTCCAATTTTTGTGAACATTTCGGTAATACAGGGTGAAACTACTTGTGCATTTGTCAACGTTGAAATGATATTTTGCAAATGTAATCAAAATTGATGATTTAAGCTATTGTATCTGACCTTAGTAACTTTACCCACGATTATTTTAAAATTTTTGTTCCTATGTATTGTACTCCATTTAAGTACGTCTGAACACCCATTCTTAAAACAAAATCAATCTTCTGTGGGCGTGACGTGATACATTTCAGGTCCGTTCTGACAATATTCCATTAAAAGGTAATCTTGTAGCTCTCGTTCCTATTTCTCCCGCTACACTTCAAGTTCCTGATCCGTTCCTTAATCCAACGTTGCCCAAAATGCCCAATTATGGCTTGTTTTCGTACATTAAGCAGTCGAAGTATTTAAACTTCTGAAAAAGAACAAATTTGGAAATGGCTGGATTCGAACCGACGACCTTCGAGTCACCATACCAAATTTGAGCCAAGCACCTTACCTATTTGACCAGCAAGACACTTAACTGCTTAAAAAACCTCAATACTAAACGGACTATAAAAATATGTCCTGTTCTCGGACAAAGTGAGTCCAAAAATGCATTAATCATAGAATATCATGCTAAAGCATTCACAAGACTTCCTCCGCAGTCATAAAATATGAAGAAAATATCGTTATGCCCTCGTTAAAATCAAGCAAATCAGATTCTACACAATATTATGTGATAGGAATACAATTTCTATTCTACTTTATATCTTCATCATCATCATTTCAAACTTTCTTATAATATACCAATGTAAATTCATGATTGTATGATATGAGCAGTAAGCATCCTGCAAAAGGGTGTTCATATATAAATTGAATGAGTTTCATTTTCAAGCTAATATGGAAAATACTCAATTATCTATTTCTTCCATTGAATGGGAAGGATGAAGAGGTTTACACATGAAAAATGTGAAGGAAGGCATACATCAACAACACAAAATGAACAAAATTGGAAGGAATAAGAAAAATCAGTTAAAGCAAAAAATCAAATATTTACCTCCAATCAACATCATGATGACACAAAAAATCTTTTCGTATGATGTATTTGCAGAAACATTGCCAAAACCAACAGATGTCAAGCTACTGAACGTGAAGTATAGAGCAGTGATATAAGCCTCGCCTTGAGTTATATTCGATACTGGTATCTTGAACCTTTCTGCCAAGCTGTTGATCCATCCTGCATGTGGAGATATATACAATAGAATATAAATGGATGGGAAGGAATAAGAACCGAACGATGCGATGAAGGAAGAGTGAAGAAGAGCAAGAAAGTGTGCTTGATAAGGAAAAATAATATCACATTGCATTTACATAGTTGACTTAAGAAATACATATATCGGATTTCCTATCAATCGTTTACCACTTCCGTAAATTGTTTGTCGAAAAACATTCTATGACGTACTTGAAGGAAATTTCATTTTTATGTTTCTTTTGTCTCCCTTTCTTATGGATTGTCAGCAGTTTTTTTACGTCTCAATATTTGATATTTTTAGACATCGATTTCGGTCAACTGAAGGTTCATCTATCCATAAAAGTCGTAGTTTCGTGACATTTGAATACAAATGAATATTTCACATGAAAATTGTTTTTCTACATCACTGCTTAATTTACGTTTAAAGTAAAGCTTCACATTCTAATTTAACCTGCTAGAAAATCATCGTTTTTCATCGTTTTTCAACCCTTTTGAATTTCAATTTAAAATAGCTTTAAGAAAAGTTTTATCTGATTCCATTCAATGGCTTTTATTTGATCCCTACATTTTCTGTAACACAAACTGTTACAGCTCTTAATTTAGTTGCTAGCTTTAACCTACTGAATCGAGAAAAATGAGCATTACTGAGTTTTAAAATAAAGTACTATGCTGTAGTAATCTCGTATTTCTGAGGTATGTTCGTTGCTTGTTTAAAGCAGTATCTACCTGAGATTTGATACTTTTTCCATCTTTAATATCAAACGATTATTTTCTGGACTTTGACCGGATTATGTTAAGTTTTATGGATTTTAAGAGCAAGAACGGGAGTTGTTGGATTTAATTTTCATTTACTAAGATATGAGATTTGGTACTTTTAAAGTTAAAATGGCATTTGAAATCGATTTAAACTTTTAGAGCTATTCATTGACTTAGAATCGTCGATTTTCAATTATTGAAGCACTAACTCAGATGGCACATCATGGCCTATGAAATGACCCTCTTTTAAACTTTTGAAAAATTTCCTACAATTAAGTTTTACAATTTTTTGTATAAATACTTTATCAGAACAAGCACTCTCAATATTTTTAACTTAGAAATCAAAATTTTGAAATGTTGTTTCTCGTTCCAAAACACATCGCCCAATTAAAACATTACAACTGCTATGAAGCTTTTAATTTCTTGTCCCCAAAGGGATTGTTAAAATTTACCTGAACATTTACTTTTCATTTAATGAACTTTGTATAAACAAATCTTGCGAACTGTCCATAACAAAAAAATTCCCTAGAGCTACACCAAAATGGCAATGTCGAAAAAAAGTTTTACAGAAGCATACAATTGTCGAGCAATGATTAAATGTAAAAGGTTTGAAAGTGGACCGACCTTTAAATGTAAATCTGTAATGAGAAACCTTGAAATGAACCTAATTTAATGCCAACAATTACAAGTATTTCCTGCCAAGCGGAAGATCTGTACAATGAAATAATTAAACGCAAATTTAATTTATAATTTCATCATCCGGTGCAGCATTAAATTTTTTTGCAAATTAACTGGATGGAGCAACGAGAAGAATGGAATCCCGAATGCAATGCAAATTTACTCTCATTGTAGATTTTATGTATTATAAAGGGAGCATTTTAAATAATTTATATCTAAAAACATAAATTTACAGCATCATGTTGATACAACTATCAACAGACACGTGCTGCAAAGCTGTAATCCATTAAAATTAATAAAATGAAATTTTAAACTTGAATGAAATTGTGGTATAGAGTTTAATTGCTATGGGATTTTCCCCAAAATGTACAATAAGTTTTCATGCATGAATGTTCATTTTTGAATCTCAATGAACCTTTTTTTTCATAATTTTACTCGTCTCACTCATCCTACACTTCCATTTTCATCAGAACAATACTAATTCAGAAAATCTTAATGAAATTATCATTTTTCATTCATAGAAAAACGAATGAAAGAATAAAAGTTAATGAATGTTAATGAAAAACTTACCCACATCAAATTCTTGATCACCATACAGTCTCTCTTTCTCAGCTACAACATACCAAATACATGCAAGCCAATGAGCGACGAGAGAAAAGCACACCTGTTGAATTAAATGATGAAAATTTTATTTATAAAGAAAAAAATCCACAAATTGTTTTTTCACCTTAGACAGGCTCATAAAGGTAAACACGACATTAAATATGAATTAATACATGAATAATGAAAGTTGAAAATGTTTTAATCTCAACTCTCATTCCATTTAACTCCCTGAAATCCGTGTCATTTTATTTTACAACCATCATCAACGATGTCTATTTATGATTTTTGTTTCCACATGTCTGTGTATAAATTTACTGTGTCGATATTTCCCAACGACTGCAAACAAAAAAACTTCAGTTAGATTCGAAAATTTCAAACTGAAATTCGAAAAATTTCGAACTGTTTCGAACTATTAAATTTTTCAAAAAATAAATGATCGTTAGGGAAGTAATAAAAATATATTTATTTGAGTTATTTTTTGAAGCAAAATTATTACTTTTATGTACCAATCGACTTTGAAATAGTAATTTTACTCTAAATTCAACAAAAACTTTTAATAATTTATCAATTGTATCTTTACAATGTTTAAAATCGACTTCAATTTGTGCAATTACTGCATTGATGAATTTCTGGTTAAAGGGAGGATCAGAACATAAGGTAAAACAATTAAGCTGTCTATAAATAAATTCAAGAATACACAAGAAATATTTTTTTTCACAGCAATATTCAATATTATGCAATTTAAGAAATTTAATCCACTTATCTTTATGCACAGAGCTTTTTGGAAGTTCAAAAAAAGGTATTTTATTGGTTTTCTTCCCTTTACAACCAGTAATTACACTATTTCTGACCATTTTAAAAAAATGAAATTTCATAAATTCAATAAAGACTAAAAAATGTAAACAAATATTTTCAACGGAAATTTTAAATTCAAATCAAGTTCGAAAATGAAGTACCTATTTCCGAAAATGAGTTCTTGTTTGCAGTCGTTGGGATATTTCGAATATTAAAAAATTTTGATGGATTTAAGTGTACATTAAAGATAAAGATTTTTAAAATGTGTGAAGCTAGCTTTAAACCAGAGCTCGAAGTAGATGAAATTTTGTATAGACTCGGACTCGACTCCGTCATACAAAATCGATGAAAATCTCGAGTTGACTTCTAGCTCTGTTTTAAACTTTTTATTATGATTATATCGAAAAGTTCCATTTTTGCAACATCTTGCATCAGCAAATATAATTAATTCTAAAATGAGTCGTTTACTTATTAATTCCTTAAGCGGTGAAATGGCATCAGTGGCCTAAATGGTAGAGCGTTGGCCTTCTGTGCCAAATCCTGGGTTCAATCCCAGGCCATGTCTAATTTTCGAAGCTCTTTTTCCATTTCACCGTTCAAGTTACGAAGCTCTGTTCGTGTGTTGGGTGTAGCTTTGAGGTCTTTGGCACAGAATATTCATACTTTGCTAGGTATACAAGGATATACTAGCATCTGGATGACTTCGTTACGGCATTTTGCGCACATGAATTGTGACTAGGTACATTGCAGGGTACATCAGGTCTTATGACGTGCTCGTGTCTTTGCAATGTGCAGAGCTTGCAAGTGGTTCGGATCCCACTATAAACTGTAGGTCTAAAGGGTGTGGTACAATAGATTCTGTTCTAATTTGAATCACAGTGCCTCCAGCTAAAAGGCTGGGCCCTTCGCACATTATCATTAAGTCCTTTAAAAATAGGATTTTTAAACCCCCCTCTCCTTGGCTTACAATTTTGTAGTAAGTCAGGAAAAGGAGTATAATTCAACACATAGATACTTCGAGATGTGGGGAGGGGTTGGTTAATTTTTTTTTTGTATCGACCATTCCATATTTCAGTGAACCTTGAGTGTCACAGTTGGTTTTGTAAAATAAATATAAAGATGATGGTGCTTTATTGAAGGCTAGATTTTACACTAGTGACATACAAAATTGACCTTAACATTTATTAAAAATCTTTTGAATTATTTTCCTAGTCTTAATGAAATTTTCTTAAGTGCACTTTGGGACTAATTTTTATAAAATTCATTATAATATGAAAAGCTACTGCTTTAAATTGAAAATAGCAACAATTCAATTAAGCTTAATGTTTACCAACAGAAAAAAGTAAATTTATTCATTTTCATTCCGTGCGTGATGAAAACAAAATCCGCAAGATGCTTGAATATTTACTATCGCGAATGAGGGTAATATTTATATAATTTTAATATGGCATGAGGTGAATTGTCAGGGAAAACTGAAGCTGTTGAGAAAACTTTTTTTCTCCTCTTCCTGATCGTTGTCGTTCCTTCCCATTTTCATTTTATCGCAATGTGAAATTATTTTTTAATGTTTTACTCTTATAATGAAATATTTATTTCCGACTGCAAAATAACACAAAATATTTATGCTGGCACGAGCAGAGGAAAGCGCGCTGTAATTTATTATTAGTCCCCCCGAAAAAAAATGATAATTTATATTCAACGCCTTCAATTCTGAGCTTTTCTTGTTATTACTTTTAGTCTCTTTCACGACTTTTTCATGCCTTTGCGGTTGTGTTGAGCCTCTGAAATTGTTTTGTCAGATTTGTTTTTGATAATTGTCAAGATTTCATTACTTGATTGTACATTTATGATATTGTTCTGTTTTTATGCTTTTTACTTTATAGATCTTTTGTTTTGTTTCGACTTCAAGAGTGTCGATATCGTTATAAAATATTAGATGTGTATACAGAGTCGAGTATTGGAAATGTGGATGAAGAATTGACTTAAGTAAACACAAGACAAGGAACATAGTGTCCTTAGCCATCTTTCTCAGATCATAAACCTGATTCACATCGAATCCCTCGATCGCCACACATTGAAATGTTTGTCACCCGGCAGTCGGGTTGATAGTATAATTAGAACCAAGCGGCAACCTCTTGGAAGCAACTTCCAACTTGATGCCAAGTGGTTGTCACGTGGTTGTCATTGCCAATTGGCAATTGGGTAGCAAACTTTTCAATGAATTTCAATGTGCGCCTATCGGGTCCAGCTTGTTTTTGCTTTCGTTTACAGCTATGTCAGTTCAAAAGAGATCTACAGACACAATTGTTTAGAAAGAGTTTTTGTCAGCACTCAAGACAACATGTCTGTACTTCAACACGTCTTTTATCTCCGCTAAGTTTTAATAAGTGCCAAAAGAGTGTCAATTCTGCAAAAATTAGCAAATTCAGTTGTATGATGAATTGTGCATCAACAATTATTTCAAGAAAGGAATTTTCAGAACAAGATACTAGAAAAAATGTCAATAGCTTTTGCTTCCATACCCTGAATAACTTTTAAAATATTTATCTCACAATTCATAGAGTCAGCAAAAATATCACTGAACTTTTCTCATTCCATGTCATAAATCTGACATTTTTATTCCCAAGGACAAAAGCCACACAATCAAAAATATGATGTTGACGATGGCAGCAATAAATAAATTAATAAATGAATAAATATGTGGAGCTAATTGAAAATTCACCCCATGAAATATAATATTTACCAATCGAATATTTTTTTAAATCATTAACCACAAAGCACTTACCATTAATAAAGTTAAAATCATTGCCGTATATTGACTATATCTGTTTTCGTGACATTTTTTTATTTTTGAGGTGAGAAAAAGAGGAAATGGAATTTTTTTTTGTTATTTTTACGGATGAACTGATTCTTTATTGATGATCATTTACCTATCCATTTTTTGAAGCAATCGTGCTAAGCGTAGCAGACGAGTAAGTTTTACTAAATGTATATGCGATTCCTGTGAGGAAAAAGAAATGACAATAGTTATTTATGTGATAGCAGCTGTTTACAGAATAACGATTGAGGATTATTTATTATAGAGTTGTAATTCCAAGTGACACAAAGTCTTAATTGTAATCTTTAGATTTATTTTCATTGGTTATTTTTTTTTATTCACTTTGTTGCTTGTGGATAAAAGTGCTTGATTACAAATTGAAATCCATGGTACATGGCATGATTTGCTACTTTGTAATACATTAGAAATAGAGTTTAGAACAGAGATATAATCCTAGTGCCTACAATTCAGCAATTTTTATGATTATAATATTAAATCATTGCTATTAAAATATGATAAGAAATCAGGATTTGGTGTCTGAAGCATTGATCATCCCCACCCCTTTCTCATTTGTACGCTACTGCAAAATCACTTTCCGATTAGTCCCGAATTATTATGCCGACTAGTCCTGCGTATAATGAAGATCATTATCTATAGATAAAAATCAATCAAATAACTCAATAACCCATTCACAAAAGTGCTCTTATGTCATGCTTGAAATTATTTTCCATTAATTATCATAAGTTCATCTCATAACCCTGTTGTACCTTAAAGCTTTGCTATAAAAAAAACTGTATTGTAATCTTGTATTGAGTTATTTATTAAGGTAAATCGGATGAGTGTTTTCTAATTATAATTGCTAATTACTCACTTAATTAACAACATTTTACTCACTATTGCTCATGGATAAAAATGTGACCGTGAGACAAGCAACGATGAAATGATGATGACAAAAGAGATCGTTAGGAGGATGTGACTGAGAGTTTAAGTTTCATAATGTGACGCTAAAAAGGTATATTTTTATTTTCTCATCCTCTCACGCCCAACTCATCAAGCCACAAATGTAAATAAGGTAAGAAGAAATGTTCAAAAAGAAATGAAAATTACGCCCTTGCCATTTCCTGGCCAGCTCAAGTTGAAAGTCAACAAAGGCAATTTAAATGAAAAATGAAAGCAAAGATTTTTTTTTCTTCTCTTTCATCATTTTTTCCTTTTATTCATTCCATAAGTGGATGGGGCAAGAAGGTAAAGTAGATAAGAAAAATGTGAAGAAGGTAAAGTGGGGACTTTTTCATTTGTTATTTATTTATTTTTTTCTACCTTTACATCACTTAAATACAAACGAAAGAAATTTTTGGAGCTTTATTAGAATGAATAACATCAGAGTTGGTGAATGATCAAACATTAAGGGGGGCCTTGTTGTCAAAGTGATAGCTTTAATAAATAATATTTGTATTCTTCGAGTTTATTGAGAATTCCCAGTATTTATACTTTAGATTTGGGTTAGTTATTTGAGTTCTTAATAAGCAATGCTTTCGTATCTCGATTCTGAGAAGATCAGCATAATAAAGAAATTTTTTGGTAATCAATTAGAGGAAGTCTAGCAATTGAAGCTACAGTCTTTTATCTAATAATTTCTTTGGATTTAGGATTCAACATAATGGCATTTGTCCATGAATTACTCATTGTGTACCCAGAGATTTTGCAGGATGACTATTAAGTAGTCGCAAATGAGAAGCTTTTGAGTAGTTAATGAACAAATTTTGCCCTTAAATACAACAAACTGAAGACAAAGTAATAAAAACCATGTCCTTAAAAGCTCATCTGCAGTTTTGAAAATCAATAAATTCAAAAATTTACCAACCATAACTCTGTAATCGCATTTTAACCAACCATAATTTATAACAAAATTCAGTCAATTATCAACTCTGCAAAGTTATTACGCCAAAAGGTTGGTCATTAATTTCAGTTATCGTCACTGTTATCTGTCCATTGTAACCGACTCATATTAAATTAAATAGTAATCGTATGTGTTGTAACACAAGCACGTTTTACACATCAAAGCATCAATTATTATCTTATGGACGATACACAGACGCAATGTTTATATATTTACTCACCTCGCCCGATAATAAATTACTAGCATAAAGATGATCGAAGGGTATTGCAGCAAGGAAATCGACAACAAACCAACCACGTAAATAATTAAGGCAAATCAGTTTCGAGTCCGACACCACTTCGCCCTTACTGGATACGAAAGTCGTACGGAAGTTGAGAATAATATCTAGGATGTTTAATAAGAAGACAAGAAGGAAAGCAGACAAAATTTATTATACGTTATTAATGATTATGAGGTTGTACTTTAATGCTACTTAGAAGTAAACTGTCTTGTTATGTTTATAAAATAAGAATCAATAAGAACAAAATTTACGATCGCTTATGGTTAAGGAGATTCCTTTTTATGAACTTACCTACAATAAATAAAGCCTCAACAACAACATCACTGGCCATTGTGGCGCGATCCGTTTGAACAAATGCTGCATTATACGGCACTACAAATGCAACATAAAATGTACTAACGAGTATAAGCCAGTCCCAAAATCCTTTAAAAACTCCATAATGCGATAGAATGAAGCGAGATTTCTTTAACGATTGAGTTTTATACTCAGGCAATGGTTCAATAGTTGTGTGTAAAAGATTCTGTTGGAAATAAAAAAAAGGATGAAAAAAGATTTTAAATTTAATTCTTATTTTGGACAAATTCGTAAAGTTTAGTATTGATTCTTTTTTTAAGGAGAGGGATCGAAATAATAAATTTAAAATTGCGATTTTATTACTCTAAGGAAGTTGAACAAAATTTTTCAATATGCTTGATATTTTAAGAAAAATAAATTTTTGGGGTTGTTTTTATTTTAATTTTGCATAAGAATAACATGAAAAGGTCAAGAATGGCTTGGCAAAATATTTCTGATGAAAGTTTTACTTATGTTTATAAAATGCCGAAGGAGACGAAAATTTTCCGAGCAGCATAATGAATATTAAAAGCTGTGACTTGTTCAACCAAGTCCATAAAAGAGGGCCTTCAAAAAACTCTCTTCCATAGTTTTAAATTTTACACTTGCACAGGTGTATCAAACAGCGACAGACTAGCCTCTTTCGTAAAATTAAGGACATCATTAATGAACGATCAATAAGGGCCGTTCACTTATTACGTTACGCAAAAAAAAATGAAAACTTTTTGCACCTCCCTCTCCCCCCCTTATTACAATATGTTACAACTCACAACCCACCCACCCCCTTCCCCCCTCCCCCTATGTTACATTTTGTTACAATTTTTCAACCCCCCCTCCCCTCTAAAATGCGAACGTAATAAGTGAACGGCTCCTAATCGCGTTCTCAGATCAATAAAACATGAAAACCAAATGAAATAACCAAACTCTTTATTCCCAAAAATTGCAAGCTGCCGACTGATTTCATTTTAAAATAAATCAACCAAGTCTGAATTTCATTCACATTTCAAAAATGTTTAGTACTGCCATTTGACTCATATTCACAAAGGTTGAGATAAAATAATGATATGCCTGCAAGCCAAAAATTGATTTAGCTATTTGAGATGATATTTATCGATTTTTACATCCCTTCCACAAAAATTATCTCCTTATTTTTTCTACCTTCTGATAAAACTGCAAATCACAGCTCTTGCAATTTTACATACCAAAAAAATCAGCATAAAAGTAATTTTATATGAATGCATGCTGACTCAATATGAATTTAAAAGGAATAAGAAATCCCAGCCTGTAAAATGAGTACTTTCTGGCTTATAAAACAAAGCTAAACTTTCAATTCATACATAATTTTGTATCTATGTACACAAAGCTAAAGTATCATGTCGATACCTGCTGAAAAATATTCAGTTACACAAATTGAATTTTCACATCAAGCATCTCTTATTTTTTCTTAAGCATTTTCTCCCTTTTTTTACTCATACACAAATACATATGGCATCATATGAGCATGAAAAAAAAGTGTTCAAGTTTCATTTCCCATGAGAGAGCACACAATGTACCAAAAAATATACACGTGATGATGATGATGATGATGATGAGAATAAAGGATAGATGAAAGCAGAATAAAAATTGTTTTAATACACAAAAAAATTATACACGTAAGGGAGGAATGAGTAAGAATGTGTATATGGGTGATGATGAGAGCTTTACGAGGTGAAAATAAATTAAGTTTTGAACTTACGTTATTAAGTTTCAATTTAGTCTTGATTTTCTCCGGTTTCTGATTTCAAAAGCATGAACCAATTTGCATGTAATAAAAAAAAAAATAAATAGAATGTTTCAGCAGCAATGAATATTCAATGAATGTTATCCTTACATAATGCCCCGATAGTTGATAGAGTACAGCTCTCGACCGACGTCTCCCCATGTTACAACCGGCTGGAATGTCAAGAGGGCCATTTCCATCAATTCCATCATCTGGATTTAAACAGGAATCAGCCGAGCGAAAACGAGCACCTAGTAGAGCAGCTATGGATATTTTTAATAAAATAGAGTTTTTAATAAGCAAAGTTCTAAGGATGATTTTTTATAGAGAAAATAAGAAGTTATTAAAAATTAAAGCCATGATTTGAGAAGCTACATTGCTGTCTAATACACTTACACAAAAAAATCACAACATAATAGAATTGAAGCATCTGATAATTTGTTAATTATTAAGACTACAATGTTTAAGTCATGGAATCAGCAAAAAAACTACTGTTTCTATAAATACACAACATATACATAATGTTCAACACGAAATGCCCTAAAGGAAGCAAGAAAATTATTTTTATACAATAAATTTTCTCAACGTCATTTTACTAGGCTAGCTTTAATGCTAAACGAAACGATACGATGAGATACGACACTTGTCGCTCATCATAATTCTTATATTCATTCATAAGACGTTTTCCATAAAGATAATCTCATTTACGTCAGCTATATAATATAGTGCCAATTTAATAAGGAGGAATGATATAAGAGAAATTTTTAGTCATCGCAGTGATTTCACGCTTCTGAACATTTTTATTTCCATAGAAAGAGTCACATAAAGATTTTTCCACGTACTTAATATCCCTCATGTTGTGATTTTTTTCTACTCTCACATTTTATGTGCAGAAAATAACGTAGGCAAGAAATAGTGAAGGAGGTTCCAAATTTAATGACGAAAGGTGGTTATGGATGATTTGTTACGATACCGATGAGTTGAAGAATTTTCGTAATTATAGCCTAAGGTGTGTATATTGATGAAATTACTGTAATTGTTATTAAAATCTCATTACTTTGAAAACTCACGTGGAAATTTTGTCGAATTAAAATTCAATTATTAAAGTATAGGTTATTTTTAAAGAATCTTGAGAATGAATTTGCAGTCAATAAAGTTACATAAACTCTACTTCCAAAGGACAACAACTTTTTTGCACCTAAAACAAACTCAAGTATCCCAAAATCATTGACATAGTCTAATTAATATATTTATTTTGGACAAAGATCATACATTATAAGGATATTCTCTCTAGAGTGCTATTAAAAAGGAAAACATCTCTTTGCTGAGCACCATTTAGCAAGGATATAACATATTTGGGTATCTCGAGTAGCTTGTAAAGGGTTTTATCTTAAATTTCATATAATCCACCCTCGTTCAAAAGATTATTTTAGGATATTCCGTATTGTAAAGTCGACAGCGGATAATCTCGAGAATTTGTGGACGGAATTTTTTTTAATGACCTGAGGCTCATTTCAATTGAATTTAAGTGCTTAAACTTAATTAAGATCTAAAAATTTGTGGAGATATTTTAAAACAGCATCAGCAGTGTCGACTTTCACTGTCTTAGAGTATGGCCAGCATTAGATTTTCATATGTGAATTTAAGTTGCAGTTTAATGCATTATTCAAAAAACATCATTGCTTGAAAACCTAGTGTGAATGCACCTTAACCTAAAAAGCCTAGTGTGAAGGCACTTTAACCTGAAAAACCTAGTGTGAAGGCACCTGAACCTTGGTGACCTACAATGACTTCGACTGACTAAGTTGTCGAATAGTTAAGGTGTCTGATTTTTAATATAAAATGCTTCTTTTAGCATGTGTGGATTTGATTGCTTTCATGATGGACCTTGATTCATATTCAAGCTGATTTATACATGAACATTTCATCAATGTGAATAAATTTCCATACAGGAATGGAAAACTCTGTAGCATGAAATCATCAAAAATGAATTAATTTTCAGCAATAAATATTCAAATGAGAACTTTATTTGCACAAAATTCTCGTATAATTCTCAATGATTTCAATTAATTTGGTAAAAGAGATAATCGAATGAAATTTCAGAATATTTGCTTTGAGTTTTCAGTTTTTCAGTTCACGCTTAATGTGATAGGAATAATGAACAAAATTTGTTTAAAATTTCATGTTTGAATCATCAAGCTTTCCAAAATATTTCCATAAAAAGTTACCAAACACCAATATCATCTTCATCATTATCATAAAATCCATTAATATAATCAAAAGCATCATCCGATGAAAATTCATTTGATGAAATCGGGTCAGATGTTGAAATCAAAATTTTGGAACCTCCATAGGAACAGTGAAAAGTTTATTTTACTCTAGAGGATTTTCATGCAAATAAAACTATCCAAATAAATGATAATCAGTATTATTTATACAGGATTAAGCTATAAATATTGATAATCAGAAATAAAATTTCAAGTGAAATTTAAAACTTAATCAATTATTTTAAAAAGCAAAATATTAATCAAATATTGACTCAATCGATTTGCATAAAGTTAAAATGATAATAAAGCATTAGAAATACAAAAATTAAGGAATAGAAGAAGGCATCTAAATTGAAAACAAAGAATAGTTTATTCATATTTACATTTAATGGGATTAATTTCATCTTTCCAATTTGAAAATTATAAATTCGGTCTTGTGAGAAATATTTTTTCGACACTCACATTTATTCAAGCGAAAATTGATTTATTTTAAATTTTACAACACATTTTTTGGCGCATATGAAAAGAAAAAAAAAGAGGAAACAAAAACAGGAAAGTTAGAAGAAGAAAAAAAAATGAGAGAAGAAGAAGAGATTAATGACATAAAAAGCGTTTGTTTTGTTAATGATATCAAATTATAAGTAAAAAAAGAAGTTTACAAAAAGCTTCACTTTTACTTTTTTTTAAAAATTTGATCATAGATTACAAAAGAACAATGTCGAGTGCTCGTTTTGCATTGAAGAAATCTGTTTCATTCAATCTTTAGTGTTTTAGTAGAAAAGATAGGCTTAGAAAGTTGGGATGAAGTTTAAAGGAATCATTAACATGAAAATGAAAAATTTTCATTATCATGAAAATTAGAACTCTAAGTTTAAAGAGCTTTTAAAGAATTTGTGTAAAATTAAATTCAGTTTCTATTTAATTAAAATTTTGAAGCAAATCAAAAGATTAAATATTGTTATAATTATAGGGATTTATTTTTTATTCCTCCAATTTATTACTTTCCTGATTTATCACTTGAAATTGCGCTCGGCACTAAGGATATGTGGTGTCGACAGAGTGGAATCTAGTGTATCGAACCATATATAGGCGAATCTGCCAGTGCAAAAGCTAGGACTCTGTGACGCGAGTGGTTATGTTTGGAACCCTCTTTTGTGAGGATTTGAGTTCGATTCCCATTAGATACCGACCTTGGAATCATTATATAGAATGGGCTTACGATTAACTAGGATTTGCATATTGCTCATTGCCAAACAGGCTACAAAAAAACTTATTATTTTTCAATAGATCCCACATTTTGAAGTATCCACTCAACTTATAAAATTGCTTCAAAATATAAATGTTTGGGAAATGATTCAGAGAGTAGGTGTATCGATTTTTACTTTAAAACTTCTAAAGTAATAATATATCATGTAAAAACTTCGACAGACACCTACACATAAATTGAACTGTGCGATATGATTGGCACTAGCTTCCTCTGAGATATCCACCCTATGCAATCTAAAGATAAATGATGGATAAAAATTTTTTATTTTTCATTGTCTTCTTTTTAAGGAGCTTAAAAACTTTTTAATAATTTATCGAATTTCAGAGGAAATTATGTCCAAAAATAAATTCTTTTAGGACTTAAAATTCTTTTAAGCGTTCGACCTTACAATTGAGAAATATTTAGGGACATTTAATGAAAACTTAAGCTTTTCAGCAAAGTTACAATATATTTTAAAACAAAACAATATTTTTATCCACTTCCAGACACGAGCTTTAATCATCAAGAAAAAAAAATATTTTTCTACACGGAAATAAGCCATAAATTTCGAGCAGCCATGGTGATATTGATATTTATTTTTATCACACGATGAAAAATATTGCCAGCTGTCTGTACGCTGTATCGTAGGTGTTAATCTTGAAGAGGAAGTGTGAAGGTGTCGTGATGATATTTGCATATTTATATCATTTATCACCATGCATTTTGGTTGTTTGAGATATGTCGTGGAATTTTAGATTTGTGGTTTGGTTGAATGACAAGTTTTATCTTGGAATTTGTGGGATTAAGCATTTATCATACGAAGAGAATGAATTGTTTATTGCTAATGTTCCAGATGGAGGAGGAAAAGGGTGTCTAAAATAGAATAGAACTCTTAAATAATAAAAAGTTTCGGTAATATGAGTGGATAGGGTTTATAGAAAATCCTATTATTACAAATGTCTCTTAAAAAGCGAATATAGCCATCCGGTCTCAGAATCCAAAAGGGTTTACAATTATTAAAAAAAAAACATTTGAGTCTACCCCTCCTTTTTTGTATACCCACAAAATTCTGAAATTTGATCTAATTAATTTAGAATCATAAGAAATTCCAAACCTAGCCTCCAAGTCTCTCTATACATAAACTTTATGCTAAATAGAAGAATCTCCCTTTTTCTTAGTATATAGGGTAGAAAAGAGAACTGAAAGCATTTCAAGCATTTTCAACAAATTAATTGAAGATAAAATAAAGGAAAGAAAATTTTTCTCTTTAAGTGAATTCCTTCTTGTTCCCTTTATATCGCATTTTGCCGAAGACGACAATGAAATGAAGAGAACGAAAAAAATCTCAAGAAATGGAGAATTTATGCTCTTCACATTTATTATTACATCCTTTGAAATGCTAAGACGCAATAAAAGAAGGACAAAACAATTTCCAAATCATTACTTTCTACAATTGTCATAGAGGAAACAGATACAAGAAAGGAGATGATTGAATGCGGATGCCTAGACACACATTTTACTGCCTTCAATCTTTCACATACAATTTCTTGATGGAATAAGGATGTGATATTATAGGGGTCTGTTTTCATTGTAAATTTTGTCTTCTGTCTTGAAATTAGGATTATTTGCAAGGAACTTGAATTTTGGATTTTATTGTGTAAATATGCAGATTGGATATGAAATAGACAGCTTTACAAGAAAAATATTTAAACTGATTTTGAAGTTGTGATTCTCCTTAATTTATTATGTCTGTAGACATTGCAAAATATTGACATACTGTCCAAAATCTTCCGTATCCATTACATTAGCCTTACATAGAAGAATACCACTATTATGCGTATAGTCTATCAAAAATTCATGAGGAATTCTGTCAGGATTCAGGATATATAAATTTGTCTACATCATTGTCAAATCCCAGCCAGAATAAACAATGAAAGCACACCCCTAAAAAAACTTGTGAATGAAATGATTTTTTCCAAAGAATCTGTCATGAATTTTGTAGTCAGAGCAATAGGGCATAAAAGGAACGATCCAAAGCATCGATTAAATACTTAAAAAGGGTTCAGCATGCAACCATTTCTTATTCATAGAAAGCATTTAAACATATTAAACTGTTGTCAATATTGATTATGGATACATGTAAGGATGTGGAGAAAGAATTTATCGAATGTAAACATGAAATTTCTTCATGCTCTTCCATTATAGATCTTTGCGAATCTAATCCCCATTTATTCTTGTGAAAGGTGTTCTTTGGATATTTTGTAGCGTTTAATTGATGGTCTCAAGCGACACAAAATAAGCAAAGAAATATAGCTTAAGCAAGGATGTGTTTGCTTTGGGTTTGAAGAAAAAATCCTAAAATTTCTCCATAATCGTCCACATAAGGACGGAATGCAATGTAATACATATGGACGATTTTGGTTACTAAGGTTAATTTTTTCTTATACCAAAGAAGAGGGGTTTATAAGGGGATATAGCCTTAAAGCTCATTATTGTTACTAGCCCTGAACTTGACACTCTTTTTAAATTGAGCATTAGTTCTAGATTAAAAAAACAAACGTTTCATCATATCCAAACGACCCTTAAGAAAAAGGAGAAGATTTAAGATGAAAACAAGAAAAAAAAATCAACACCATTAATCAGATTTATACATGTGGATGTTGTGGGTAATGGAATTTTTTATGAATAATTTTTAATAATTTTTATCATCAATATTTATGCTTTCCTTTTTCATTAGCATCTTCTTACTCATGTAGAATAGGTTGTTAAAGAGAGATTAGTTTGTTGAAGGTATTATTAAACATTACTTTCATTACAAATTCAAATTATACAGTTAAGAAGAGGTTTTTGTAGCATAGAAACGAAATACCCTAATTTAGATGAGGAAGAGGAAAGAAACATTATCAAAAATTAGATTATTATCTCTCTTTTTCTCTTCCTTCAAACTCTGTATTCAGGAAAGCTTTAAAAAATTGTTTTTCATAATTCTTCTTTTTGTTGTTTAATGCTTCCAAGTTGTTTAACACAATTCCACTGAGATAGTTCAGCACGGATTCATTTTTATCTCATTTGTATGTCTGACTGTTTCGTGAATAAATTACGCATGAATAATTAAGTTTTTCCTGTGAAAAGGGGCACTTTTATTTCATTATCTGTTTCAATTTGATTCGTGTGTAAAAGCTCAAATTGCAAAGTTAAGAAGAACTTTTCGGATAATTTGGAAGCTCGTGTGGCGAGTGGAATACCTTTATAGCCTAAAGGTCAAATTCATATAAAATGTAGAAGGTGCAACTTTGATGCATTTATTGTCATTTGAAAGTTAAAAAAAAGCCTTAATCCTAATCTAAAGTTGGTATTAAAAAACATAGCTGTACATGAGATGCCAAAGTGACCATTTTATGGTGACCCAAACAAAATTTTATTTCAAATTCAGATGGATTGAATTAAAATGTAAACTTCAACGAACCGAAAGCTTTGTTAGATCATGACAAGTTTTTTGAGTAGCTTTAAGACATTCTAGATCAAGAATTTCGGTCCGAGTATCATTTATTGTCTTTCTAATCCAATGGTAAATCGAGAATATTTAAGTCAGCGGGAGATTTTAGAGACACATTGAATAGCTTTAACTAATATTGTGACCTAGTTTTTTTCGTACAAAAAAAATTTAAATACTCAACTTTAAAGTTATCTAGCAGTTTATCACACATTATTGGCACATCTGAATAACATCAACATATTTTAACAAAGACATGTATGTCTCACAGGACTTTGAAAACCTTAATCCTGGTAGTTTTTAAACATTCATCGATCACTTTTACGCATCCAAATCTATTATTCCTACATTATTGATTTGCGCCCACCGACAATGAAAAATGACTGCAAAGCACAATAGCCTATACAATTAATCTACTGATTGATTCATAGTAAATGCGCTTTCTCGTAAGTTTCCCACTGTAACTAGTCATTAATATTTGTTAAGAATTCGCACGAAAGAGAAAAAAAGATAGAAGAAGATATAGATGGAACAACAAGAAGAATGAGAGCTTATCTTGCTACTTTTTGCGGCATAAAAATAAATATTAATGTTCTGTACACAGTTTTAGAAAGAATTAAAAAAAGAAAAAGGGGTGAGATGATAGATGAATAAATAAATGAAGAAAACAGTAAAATGGAAAAAAATTCAATTCAAAACAGCAG